AAGCCTGCCAGAGTCTCTGCAGGAGACAGAAGGGTTTCCTGCTCCTGCAAAGATTTAAAGCCTCAGAAACTTTATCCAGGGTTGCTATGAGTTGGAACTGACTTGATGGTACTAATAACAGCCTCATATATATTATCATAAATTCATGTTTATATCTATTTGCATATTTAATTTGTATTGTAAAAATTTAAACAATACAACACTTGCCAATTCAACTTTTTATAAGATTGTTGTTATGAAATAGCCCAAACACACATGACTTCAATTTGCTTCTTTGGCAGGACACAGAGAAATTGGTAGCTTTCCTGTTTGGAATTGCCTCTCACATGGTGGCAGACATCAGCTGGCACAGCCTGGGTATAGAACAAGGGTTCCTTAAGACAATGGGCGCTGTGAGTACATATCTTTTTGGCTTAGTGCTCTGGACTGCAAGGTTGGTTTAAACTGCAAGGTCTGTGATTCAGGCTTACCAGTCGTACCTCAGAAACCCTATACAGGGTCGCTACGGGTAGGAAACAACCTGATGGCACTTCACAACAAAAACAATGACTTTATGGTAGTGATACTGTCATGCTCAGGATCAGAAACTGATCCTCCTAAGGGAAAGGGAAACTGTGGGTTCTTTATATGTCCTATAGAAGAAATGAACCGCCTTGGCCCAAGTTAAGAGTTCATCATTTAATATTCTTTCCTCTTACTCTTTCTTGCTAACTGGGTAAATTCATCCACAATGATATTCACTGAAAACAGATAGATGTCATTTTCTGTTTTAGTCACCAACAATATTTGAGATGTTTTATGTTTTTATTCAAGTTGTTTTAACCACCTATCTTAATAAAGAAATGAATACCTGCCAATTGGTACTATTTAATACTCATGGTGGTGGTGGTGGTGTGCCGTGGAGTCTGTTCTGACTTATAGTGACCCTGCATAGGATTTCTGAGGCTGTAAATCTTTACAGGAGCAGAAAGTCTCATCTTTCTTCCATGGAACGGCTGGTAGTTTCGAACTGCTGATCTTGAGGTTAGCAGCCTGACTCATAACCACTACGCTACCAGACTTTAAAAAACAAAAAAAACTTAAACCAATGCAAATGCACTATCCCCAAGCTGAAAATTAGGATCTTATCTGATGACTTAGCCCCTGAAAGTCTCTTTTGGTCATGTATTGATATTAATTTCATCTTGTTAGAAGTTTAAAGTTAGATTCATTAGAGACTTGCTATATAGCCTGTAAGCATAATAATCTGCATTAGCTTTATTTGTGACCAGACATTGTGCAACTCAGCTGCCAATGTAACTTCTTAAAATTAAAATACAATTTGCATGAAAATTAGTCCATCCGTTATGCATATTCTCAGCAACTCACTGGGTTATTCTGCAATCTCCCCACTCATGGTTTGATGTTGATAATAAGAATGTGGGCTACATTTTGTGATCTATACCACATGGTTCTCTTTCTTTCTCAGATTGATTTTCACAACTCCTATTCTGAAGCTCACTCAGCTGGTGATTTTGGTACTGTTTATTTACACTTATCAACTTTTCTTCTGTGGTATTTGTATTTAATTTCTAAGGAAGTCACTATTGCATTTTAATTGTCTGCATTTATTAGAATTTGTCATTAGCCTTTATTGATTGCTTTTATCTTCTTTTCATATAGCAGTTTGTTTAGAATACAGGCATACATCATTTAACATAGAGATGTATTTCTGAAGTTGTGTATACGTGTCTTTTTTTTTGGTCAAAAGTGGTAAAAATGGCATTTTGCCACGGGTCGTAATTTTAGAAATACTTCACCTTTATATTGTATGCAAATTCATTAGCCATTGCCTCATAATACATTAGCTTTAAATTGGCAAACCTTAGCTTTTTTGTATAATGAATTGCCTGTAAATATATAGACTACTCAAGAGATGAGAGGCATTGATTTAAAAGAATCACCGTGCTCTGCCATTCCATAGGTTATAAATATCTCTGGTTATATGGAGGATTCTTTCTTAATGCATGTTTCTCTAGGTAAAAAAAATTTTTTTTTCTAGGTAAGATTTTAAAAGATCTTTTTTGTTTTTCTTAAAGAAAGGGCTGCACCTAAAATAATGAACAGAAACATGTGACCATGTGAAGAAGTAGTAATCTGGATTGTAAGAATTTGCGTTGAAAGAAGCATGTTATGTGTGGTCGCTAATACACTAAATGTAAATATTTTTCTCATCCCACAGGAGGCGATGTGCTGAGCCAGTTTGAGTTTAATTTTAATTACCTCACACGGCGCTGGTAAGAATAATATTTATCAAGTCAATCTTACACATTCCAAGAGAAAAATGTATTAGAAATCTCCCCCATGTGTGCATTTTTAATTTCTTTGTGGTTCTATCAAAGATTGTTTTATATCAGTTTCAGGGATATATGAGAGGGTTTCAAAAAGTTTGTGGAAAATTTGAATTAAAACATAATGGGAATTTAAAAAAAAAAGAAAATGGAAATTTTCTGTGAACTTTTGAAGCCTCCTTATATTGTGGGGAGTCCTGGTGTGGCACTGTGGGCTCATGTGCTGGACTGCAAGGTCACTTTGAATGGCAAGGTTGGTGGTTCAGGCTCACCAGCCGCTTCTTGGAAACCCTGTACAGGGTTGCTATGAATCAGTTCTGACTCATGGTGACTTCGTAGAGCTTCCGAGTCTTCCTCAATTTTGAGGAGAGCAGAAAGCTTCATCTTTCTCTTGAGGAGTGACTGATGGGCTTGAACAACTGACCTATGGTATAGTATAGTTTATCCTGTGGAGCCATCATGTTCATATTGTGAGATGTGTTCAACTTTGAAAATATTACATCGTCCTGTTGAATTGCAGCTTTTATTATCTTTATCTGGAATAGTGCTTGGTGCCTTTAAGTCTGCTTTACCAAAGATTTTGGTGCTTACACTGGTCATCTTCTAATTGGATTCGATGGTGCTTAGGTTAGTTGGGACTTGAGTTATGGTTCCATGTTGGTTGGTTGCACTTGCTTACCTCCCAAGATTTCTACTTTCCATTTGTTTTTGAGTCTCCTTTGGAAATTTTTCATTTTCTTGCTAGTGACTCATTCAAAGAAAATATTTTTGTTATTTCATCTGTTTTTCAACTGTTTTCATTGGGAGGGTCATTCTGGTGTGTGTATAAAAATTAAAAATAAAACAACACACAAACATCTCAAAAGTTTCTTACTTGTAAACATACTAAAATTAGGTTTCGTCGGTTGTGGGTTTTGTCTCATATGGTCTGAGGAAGGATCCCTGGTGGTGCAGCGGTTTAAGTGCTTGACTGCTAACCAAAAGGTCAGCAGTTTGAACCCCCTAGCTGTTCTGTGGAAGAAAGATGTGGCAGTCTCCTTCCATAAAGATTGCAGCCTTTAAAAAAACCTATGGGGTTTGATAAATCAATGGCAAGCTGAAAAAACAAAACAAAAACAAAACCCCTATGGGACCGTTCTTATGGGGTAGTTGTAAATTGGAGTCAACTTGATGGCCACGGAGTTTTGATTTGGGTTATATTCTAAGGTGTGGCATTGTAGGATAAGCACTGGACTGCAAACCACCCCCAAGCACTTCTCAGAAACCCTGTACAGTGTTGCTATGAGTCAGAGTCAACTCGACGGCATTAACAACAACAATAGTCTAAGGACTTTGAAATTTGGATAAAAGATGATTCAGCATAAATCTCATTTTTAAGATGATGCTTCTCTTCCAACTGAAATCACTAATAGTTCTGAGCCAAAAAATCTGACTTAGAATTTTTCTTACTGTGTCCTCTGAAACCGAAGGGTTGGGATAAGGAGCCGTTTTGGTATTTTCCAAGTAATGAGTCTCTGGATAGATCCTTTATCTGACTGTTTGAATTCTGAAGTCACACAATTAAATGTCCTCTTTGTACTTTACAAGGAGTCCTGGTGGCATTGCTTGGCTGCTAACCAAAAGATCCATGGTTTGAAGCCACCATCCGCTGTGTGGGAGAAAGACGTGACAGTTTGGAATCCCTATGAGGCAGTTCTACTCTGTCCTCTAGGAATGTTGTGAGTGCGAATCTGCTTGGTGGCAACTGGTTTGGTTTGGTTCATACTTTAGAGTTAGTTTTCTATCTTTGAATGAACCATCATAAATGTTTGATCAAAATACTAGTTGCTAGCTCTATGTCATTGGGCAAATTATATAGCTTTGCTGAGCCTCACTTTCATCTTATATAAGGTGGCAATATAATAGCATTAACCACCCAGAGCCATTGCTTGTTATTAAATGCCATCAAGTCAGTTGTGACTCATAGCGACCCTGTATAGGAGTTCCAAGGAATGACCTTGTGCTCCAGCTCACTATCCTGCAGCGCCACACCAGGACTCCTTGCTAAGATTAAATTAATAACTCACTGCCATTGATTTGATTGCCTCACAGCAACCCTATAGGACAGAGTAAAATTTGTTCCCTAGGGTTCTGAGACTGTAAATCTTCATGGCAATAGACAGCCTCATCTTTCTCCCTCAGAGTGGCTGGTGGGTTTGAACTAGCAAACTTGTGATTAGCAGCACACTGTTTAACCCACTGTGCCACCAGGTCTCCTTGATTAAACAAACAGTCCATGTTACGGTCCTTGCAAGGTATCCAGCAGAGGAAACTCCTGGAACAATTGTTGATACTGCTTTTCTTATTGTTGTTACCTTCAATTTCATGATGAATAAAAAATTTTATTCTAATCCACTCCTAAGGTACGTGCCCACCAAAGATCTACTGGAAATCTATAAGAGACTCTATGGCCGAAATGTCATCACCAAAAGTGCAATTGTTGATTGTTCATATCTTCAGTTCTTGGAAATGTAAGTGGAACCCAGGGAGACATTTGCCTTTGATTTATTGTCATTTCATTGGCATCGTTTTCCATGCCCCAGACATCTGAGACTGTACGATATAAGTTTTTTGCTTATTCAAAAGCTGTTGAGTGTCGTAGATGCATGTTGATGGAACTTTTTCTTTAATATTTCCTCACTTCTTAGTAGAAGCTGTAACTCATAGTCAAAATTGTTGTTTGTGTTGCAGGTATGGTGAGATGTTAGCTGTTTCTAAGGTAAAAACAAAAGCTTTGCTGTCATTTTCAAGGACTGTCTAGTTACTAGAAATTAGCACTGCATTTACTTATTTATCTTTCTCTCTACCATAGCTCTACCCCGTCTTTTCTAGAAAGTCTCCATTTTTGGTAGAACAATTCCAGGAGTATTTCCTTGGAGGCCTGGATGATATGGCGTTTTGGTCTACTAATATTTACCGTGCAATAAGCTTCATGTTGGAAAATGGGACCAGGTGAAGTAGTCCTTTATTTCTTACACCACTCACTGCTTGCCTTTGCCTACATAACTCCTTAACTCTTCAAGTGATCAAATGTGAGGGAGGAAGAAAAAGCAACTCATGAGGTACCAACCTAACCTAATGAAGGAAGTAAAGAAAGTTTAGTCATCTACCTACCATGTTTACCGACTGTTCTCATACTTTGGAGGTAGTGTCTTTGTCTCCTAGCTGCTGTTGTAACAGAACTACCACAAGTTTGGAAGAACAGAAATTTATTTTGCCCTGGTTCAAGAGGCTAGAAGTCCAATTTCAGAGTAAGGGATCCAGGGGAAGGTCCTCTGTGTGTTTTCTCTGAGGGAAGATCCTTGTCTTTTTCAGCTTCTGAGCCTGTGATCCTCGATCCCTTGGGAATATTAATGTGACATCTGTCGTCATTTGTTTGTGTTTACTTCTGTATCTGATCTGCTATTTTTATGACTCAGAGTGACTAGACTTAGGACACGCCTTTGCTGAAATGACCTTCTTAAAGTAACAAAGAAAACCCCATTCCCCAAAGGGACTGTATCTGCAAGTATGTTGTTGGTGTGTACCTTCCAGTCAGGTCCCATTCATAGTGACCCTGTGTAGGGTTTCAGAATAGTGACTGGGTGCATTTGAACCACTGACCTTGCAGGTAGCAGTCCATACAGAGGTTAGGATTCCACCACATTTTGAGGGAACACAATTCAAACCATAACAGAAAGAAATATTGAAAAGTGTGTGGTCTGTGAGGAATGACCCACGTAGGCCTAGTGCCAGCATATTGTGCCCTGGATGATATTCCTGTGCTATTAAAGACATTTGCTAGCCTCCAAGTAATATAATTACATATTATGTTAAATTGAAAGAGACTTTCTTCTGATGACATCTTCTACTTTAGCCTGATAAATGTTAAGCTGTTTTTAAGATTTGTTGGTGTTGTTAAGTGCTGTCGAGTCAATTCCAACCCATAGCGACCCTGTATAGGGTTTCCAAAGAGCAGCTGGTGAGCTTGAACCACCGACCTTGCAGTTCAAATGACTTTGTCTTCCAGGGCATTAACCCATAGCGCCACACCAGGACTCCTTCGTGACTTAGTAATAATTCGACACGAATAAGCTATCTAATATGAATGTCATTATTAATAGTGAAATAAATCCTCCATAAAACCTTCAAGCTCTTCTTCAGTGGCTGTTGATTGTTAAGTACATGCTAGCACAATTGTTGAGCTCATTTAAGAGATGCTGGAATCTAAGACAGTTGTCATCACTAAGTTATCTGGAGAGAGTTGCTAAACCTCCCTAAGTCTTAGTTTCTTCATCAGTAACATGAGGACACCCCTGGTGGCGCAATCGCTGTGTGCTTTCAGCTAACTGAAAGGTCACTGGTTCTAAGCCACCAGCTGCTGCTCAAGAGAACGATGTGATAATCTGCTTCTGTGAAGACTTACGACCTCAGACACCCTTCAGGGTAGCTCTACTCTATCCGATAGGGCTGCTATGAGTTGGAATTGGCTTGCTAACACAGCGGTACTTCTGTCTCTACCATAGGGATGTTGTGGGAGTAAATGAGATCACTCATAAAAGGTCTTAGTATGTAGTAAGCAGTAAGTGTTGGCTACTGGTATTATCATTATTATTAGAAACCAGTTAAGTTTGTATTGGAAGGACTCATGTCACATGACCATGTTAGAGTGAATGACCTGCATTTACTTGTTTTACGTAACCCATGTGTAACAATCCTCAAACTGGTTTTTACTTGGGTTCTCCACATAGCTAATGAAAGAAGATCTGTGTAGGTGGACCTTTTTCTTTGACTGTTGTTGCTAAGTGCTGAGTTGGTTCTGACTCGTAGCGACCCTGTATAGGGTTTCCATAAAGAAGCTAGTGGATTTGAACCACTGACCTTGTGGTTGGCAGTCCAATACTTATCCTACAGCACCATGCCAGGACTACTATTGGAGAGAAATTTATTTCTTGCCTCTTGATCCCTGCTCTAATTTGTTGTGGTTGTTAAGTGCCATCAATTGGTCCCGACTCACAGCAACTCTGTGTAGAATTTTCAAGGAGTAGTTGATGGATTTGAACTGCCAACCTTGTGGTTAGCAGTTCAGTACGTATCCTACAGTGCCACATCAGGACTCCTGCCCTAATTGAGGGAGCAGAACACCCATGAACTGATGGCTACTATATGCACATGTAAAGAAAGAGTCATCAATATTTATGGAATTTTATGGGAAATTTGGAGAAAAATAACACAAATAAATTCACGACACAAAGGAAAATATAAATATTTTCATATTATAGGTATTTCCCAGTTTACTAGCAGGTCATGTTCCAAAGTATGATTTATAAGTTATTTGAAACTCATAATACATTTTCCTAAAGAAACAATGAAGTAATAGTAAATTCCTGGCCAGCACTCTACGTAACTCAAAAAAGCATTCATAAGTGTAGTGCTACAGGTGTAAGATACCCTTCTGAAGTTGGGTGGTGGAGAAAAGAGGATTCAGAGAGAGATCATTTTCAGGCCTAAGGAAGAAGGAGCTCTGGTAGTGTAGTGGTTACGAATCGGGCTGTGAACCACAAGGTCAGTAGTTCGAAACTACTAGCTGTTCTGCGGGAGAAAGATGAGGCTTTCTGCTCCCATAAAGATTTATAGCCTCGGAAACCCTGTACAGGGTCACTATGAGTCGGAACCGACTCCATGGCATATAACAATAACAACAAAGGAAGATTTTGGGAGGAAAGTTTTCCTTCCTTTTTCCTATTTCTTTCTTGAACTCTTCTCCCAGCAACTAGTCTTCCTCATCTCAAGTTCTTTCATACCACTCAGAGCTTCCCTCAGTGACCACTATGTAAACCTTCCTCTCCTTAAACGTAACATCCTCTTGGTTCCAAGATGGGGGAATCGTCGCTGATTGAGAGAATTCACTCCTTACAGTCATTCAAAGGCATTTTCCTGGTAAAAGGGAAGACTTAGTTACCGTTTAAATCAATGAACTTGATAAATGAAGAAGTGGTATTGAGAAATAAAGACATAGATGGCATAAATGGGGACAATTTGACAGAAAGTAGCCTGGTGTACTAGACAGTATTGTCCAGAAAAACAGAACTAAGTGGATAGATAGATATAGACATAGATCCAGATCTATCAAGAGTGAGGAGTAGCTATTGATACCAATAGATTGAGAGCGAAATTGGCTGGTTGAGTTTAAGGATTATCTCACACAGTTGTGAGGGCTGGCAAGTTGAAACTTGGCGGGCCAGATGACAGGCAAACTCTGGCAGGATATCTGTGTTGCAGTCTTGAGACAGAATTTCTTCTTCATCAAGAAACCTCAGATTTTGCTCTTGAGACCATCAGCTGGTTAGATGAGGTCCCCCACATCATCAAGAGTAATGTACTTTCCATAGAGACAACCGATTACAAATGTTAGTCAGATATAAGTATCTTCACAGCAACATCCAGAGTAGCATTTAGCAGAGCAACAGGGCACCACAGTCTAGTCAAGTTGACACATAAAATGAGCCACTATGGTTGGGACCTACTTTCTCTCATAGTCTTTAATTCTAAGATGTTTCATGTCAGCATGGAACAGCAAAGCAGGCAGGTTGGGGAGGAAATGGGAAGACTGTGAATTTGGGGTGATGATGAGTATGCAACTGCTTGTATTTTGTATATTGTCAATTGTATATTGACTCATATTGCTATTAGTCAACTTATCCACCATTACCTGGAAGGATCTAGGCCTTTTAGGGGCCCTGCATGGGAGGTAATGAGCAGCTCTATAATCAATAGAGCTGAAGTGTACCTGAGTCTCAGTAGAAGTCCATGTTTGAAAAGAACATAGGGAAACATCTGACTCATTTGACTCTTTCCCAGTGACTGCACTCTACCTGAAAACCCTTTGTTCATAGCATGTGGCGGCCAGCAAAACAGCACCCACAGGTAAGTGGACCCAAAACTAGTGCCCATAGCTGAGCATCTAACCTGGAGCTGGAGCTGCGGAGGGTGAGAGCTGGGACTCGTAGACAGACAGTTAAAGGCCCCAGTTCCATGTATAGCAGTGCCGTGCACAACTGGTTTGGTTTTAGATTAAGTCACTTCGTTTTTTGGAACTACAGTTCCTCCTTTTGCCAAATGGAAAAAAATACAAAGGCCTGCCCCCAGAGTTGTGATCTGTGTCACACATTGTAATGAGCATAAAGCAACTAGGTCCTAGTCAGTCGTTCACAAAATGGTAGCTCATATTGTTATGCCTGTTATCAGAGCTGTTGCTTGTAGACTTTATCCAAATGTCACCCTGGGAAAGTATTAGCAATGAGAGAAAATGGGGAGACAGCTGTTCTGGTGGTTTCTGAGGACCAGGGCCACAGGGCTTGTTTGTATGATAACACGTGGTATCCCTACCAGAGTCAGTTATCAACCAGCCAAACTTAATCCGATCATTTGGTAACTTCATTAATATTATGTTATATACATCTATCGGGCTGGGAACCACAAGGTCAGCAGTTCGAAACTACTAGCTGTTCCACGGGAGAAAGATGGGTCATTCTGCTCCCATAAAGATTTGCAACTTCGGAAACCCTGTACAGGGTCGCTATGAGTCGGAAACAACTCCACAGCACACAGCCAGCCATTGTTAATAAGGAGGCCTGGCCCTGTGGGTTAAAGCACTGGACTGAAGATCAGTTTGAAACAAAAGATCAGCAGTTCACACTCACCAGCCACTCCTTGGAAACACTATGCTGGGTCACTATGAGTCAGAACCGACTCCACGGCACTTAACAACAACATCATTAATAACAAGATAGTATTTAAATTGAGAAGATAAAATGGTATTCATTCATCATTGGGTTATCATTGTTGCTGTTGTTAGTGCCATCCAGTTGGTTCTGACCCACAGCGACCCTGTATAGGGTTTCCAAGGAGCGGCTGGTGAGCTTGATCTGCCAACCTTGCAGTTCAAATGGCTGCAGCCTGGTGCATTAGCCCACAGCACCACACCAGGACTCCTGGGTTACCATTAGTTCTACCATTAGGAGTTTAGGCGCTAGGATATATTTGTGAAAAAGACAGAGACAGTTCCTTGTCTCATAGCCTAAGGTGGGTCAGCACCAAATGACTGATTATGTAAGTATTGTGTTAGGGCAGGTGCTCTGGTAGCATAGTGGTTATGAATAGGGCTGCTAACTTCAAGGTCAACAGTTTGAAACTACCAGATGCTCTGTGGGAGAAAGATGAGACGTTTTGCTCCCATAAAGATTTCCAGCCTCAGCAACCTTGTACAGGATCGCTATGAGTTGGAACTGACTCCACAGCACATAACCACCACCACCACCACCACCAAGTGTGAGGGAAGAATGCACACTGCTCTGAGGCTACTACTACCCAGTGTCTTAACTCAGCCACAGGAGAGCATTCCTTGTAGGAGTGATGTTTGTTGTTGTTGTTGTTAAGTGCCATTGAGTCAGTTCCCACAGTGACGCTGTATAGAGTTTCTGAGGAGAGACTGGTAAACTTGAACCGCTGATTTTGCAGATTAAACCGATTTTGCGGTCTAGCGTATTAACCCACAGTGCCACACTGAGACTTCAGGAGTGATGTTTAGGGGGAGTAAAAGATACAGAGCCCTGGTACAGAGCTGTAGAATAAGCACTTGACCACAAAGTCACCTGCTGTTCCTTGGAAACCCTATACAGGGTCGCTGTGAGTTGAAACACCTCGACAGCACTTAACAACAACAAAAGATACAGATGTTAGGTGCCTTTGAGTTGGTACCAACCCATAGTGACCCTATACACAATAGAATGAAACACTGCCCAGTTCTGTGCCAACCTCACAATTGCTGCTATGTTTGAGCCCATTGCTACTGCTGCCACTGTGCCAATCTATCTTCGGGGGGTCTTCCTCTTTTTCTCCGACCCTCCACTTTACCAAATATGATATCCTTCTCTTGGGACTGGTCCCTCCTGATAATATGTCCAAAATATGAGAGACAGGGTCTGGCCATACTGGCTTCCAAGGATCACTCTGGCTGTGCACTTCTTCCAACATAGATTTATTTGTTTGTTTCTTCTCCATGGTACTTTTAATGTTTTCCTCCAACACCATAACTCTAGTCTTTATGGTCTTCCTTATTCACTGTCCAACTTTCACATGCATATGAGACAATTGAAAATACCATGGCTTGGGTCAGGTGTACCTCAATCCTCAAACTGACATCTTTGCCCTTGAACACTTGAAAGAAAGAGGTCTGGTATTCAAAAAAGGACATTGTACTGAAGGCCCTCTGGTGGGAGAGAGCTTAGATCTTTGGGAGCATTGAAAAGATGCAGATCGGTTTCAGTTAAGCTCTCATTGTTTGATTTATATGACTCAGGTAATTTTTAAAAAATTCAGTTTAGCGCATTAAGATTGGCTTGCAGTTCCTCCATCTTGGCACCCTACCTTTCACTTCAATTGTTTATGAACCTGTCCTGCTCTTCCAGGTATTTGGCGTATGTTGTTGTTGGTTAGTGCCGTTGAGTTAGTTCTGACTCATAGTGACCCTATACAGGGTTTCCAAGGAGCGGCTGGTGAGCTTGAACCGCCAACCTTGTAGTTCAAAGCAACCTTGCAGTCTAGAACATTAACCCACAGTGCCACACCAGAACTGCATTTGGCTTTCAGGCTGGGTAGAATACATGAATTTGAGAATGAATATTTATTGTGCAATTAACTCTATCATGCCCTTAAAAATAAATCAGTAAATCTACATACTAATTTTCCAACAACCTATAAACCAGTTTCTTGACTTTTTGTGCAAATTATTGAAATGCCTCTAATTTTTTAGTAATCTGGGGGGAATTCAAACATTTTAGTCTCAAAAAGCTATTTCCTATTTTTTATAAGAACAGACTTTTAAACCTTAGAAATATATTTATTAAAAGATTGTAGACTCTCCTATGAAGGTTTTTTTTTTAAATTTTGCTTTTTATGGTGTTTTTGTGGTGAATTTAGCATGCTGTGGTCATTTATCTTGTGCTTAATTTGTTTTTATTCTTTAACTCAGTAATCCAGGGGGTTGGTTGTTTTTTCAGTAGTAACCATTTTATTCCTCTCTCTTTTCAACAGCTCAAAAGTGCAGAAAAATGCTTTTTATAGAAATTTGACTACTGTATCCCCAGTGAAAGATACTGAAAGAAACATAAATTATACAGAAAGAGGAGTCTTCTTTCATGTGGATACGTGGACCCCAGTAAGAATTTCTTTGTTTTGAATGCTACTTCTTGAGATATCTTGTTTTGTAGAGTCAATAGTATTTAATCATTCTCTGGAAGTCACCTGGCCAGGTGCCAGGCTGGTGAATACACTTGGCCTCTAAATCTGATTTGATCAGAGACTTCCTGAGATACACATCTGTACCGCAGTAGCCTCCTGCAACTACAGTGGAGCCCAGGACATCTGGGCCAGTCTTGTCTGGCCTTAGTCTAAGATGTGTCAGCAATATCGCATGCTTACTATGCAGAGTCCCATGCAGAGGGACACCACTGGTTAGGGAATTCATCCATGAGCTCATCTTTTAGGTGTAAGATACTCTTAACAGGGAAGGAATAGCTGGGTCCGTGGTAGAATTCTTGCCTACCAAGCATTGGATTGGTGGCCAATGTTTCTCAAGCAAAGCTAACACTTGTCTTACTGGTGGTTTCACTGTTGCTATGATGCTGAGTAATTTATTTTGGAAAATCAGCCAATGAAAATGGTATTTATCTCATGGTCTGACCCCAAAGTACATGCAGTATCGTCACCAGTGCGGGATGGGGAGTCCAGACTGCACCCGATGTGTTACACTGTCTGAGGGAGTGATTCTAAAATGATTATTTAGAACATCTTCGTGCCATGTTTCAGCAGATATTTATTTTTTTAATAAAATTATTCCTATAGTTGGTTATAGAAATAAAACCTTTTTATTTTGTAAACCCTCCTTATAGTAAAAGCTTATTAAATGCTTTCTGGATGCGTGAACAAGCTGGAACGAGGCATTTAGATAAGTCGTCAGTACATAGGGGCCAGAGGATTACCATGGTGGGGGGAGGGCAGAAAGTACGATCCAAGTCCACAGGGTGCTCAGAGACTGCACTTCTCCCAAATCTGAGCTGTCCAGGCCTGAGCGCTGTGCTGAGCCGACTCTGCTCCACTCTGGGGCAGGCCTGGGAAGTCTTGTTCAGTCTCATGGCAATCTTGAATGGATTTAAATTGGTGTCCCTTGAATTTAAATGGAAGACCCCCAGCAAGATGGATTGGCAAAGTGGCAGCATCAGTGTGCTCAAGTGTGGCAACAATTGTGAGGTTGGCCCAGGACTGGGCAGTGTTTTCATTTTGTTGTGCACAGGGTCGCTATGAGTCAGTACCGACTCAATAGGACCTAACAACAAGAAGTCCTTGTGTGGCACTGTGAAACAGTGGGTTGGACTGCAATGTCCGTCTGAACCTTAAGGTCAGTGGTTCCAATGCACCGTCCTCTGCTTGGAAACTCTATACAGGGTTGCTGTGAGTTGGAACCGACTCAACAGCGCTTAACAACAACAGCAGCAGTACCGGGCCAAGGAGTCCTGGTAACATAGTTAGATAGGCCCTCGGCCACTAACCAGAAAGTCAGTACTGTGAATCTTCCAGCCATTTAGAGGGGGGAAGACCTGGGGATCTCATGTAAAGATTTACAAGCTTGGAAACTCTATGGAACTGTTCTAGCCTGTCATACATGGTCATGGTGAGTCCGAAACCATTCAATGGCACACAGCAATTGTTTTGTTTTTTTAAATGTTTTATTGTGAATTATGTGATAGTTTACATGGGAGAACATTAGCTTTACATTCATCATATTGTATATCGTTTCATTACCATGGTTACAATCCCTTCCACGCATCATCAACCAACCAAAGGGTATACCCTGCAAGCCTTCCCCCTGGTCATCAGCACACAGCCCCTCTCCCTCTGTGGGTCTAGAGTCCCCAACCACTCCATTTCTCCACGTCATCATCATCTCTGCCTCCATCTCTGGCGTCACTGCTTCTCTGGGTAGGGTCCCGCACTCTGCTCTTCTCCCTTGATGGTCCCAGGGACCTCTACTCCTGGACTGCAAAGTCAACCACTCGCCTTGTTTTGCTACAAAATATCTACCTTTACATTTCCAACCCTCACAATCAGTCCTGATAGCAATTATTCACTATTGTACCACAAGAGACCTATCCCCATATCTCCTTTCATCTGCCCCGCCCAAACAGATTGGATACTACTCAGTGGAGATTCTACCTTCCTCCGCGCCCTCTGGATCTAGGCTCCCACTTGAAAGCTTGTAAGCCAGTCACTTCTTGCCAACGATTGCTGTTTTATTCAGTGTATTCTTTCCTCCCGTGGTAGCCCAGCTTTTGAAATATAACAATATTGTCTCTCCTCATATATTGGTGGTAGTGATTTCAGTCTTCTAATTGCCTGCCCTAAGTGACCTTGAAGTTCCTAAGTGGTACAAACAGTGGTGCACATGACTGTTAATCAAAAGGTTGGCAGCTCAACCCCACCAGGGACCTCAGAATAAAGGCCTGGTGATCAACTTCCAAAAGGTCACAGCCATTGAAAACCCTATGGAGTGCATTTCTATTCCAACACACACAAAGTCACCATGTGTCAGAATCGACTTGATGGTACCTGGTTAGGTGTTGATTTAAATGACTTTACTTGTTGATATAAGGAGGCCTGGAGGTGTTGTAGGTTAGGTATTGAGCTGCTAACCTCAAGGTCAGCAGTTCAAATCCATTAGCTGCTCCAAGGGTGAAAGATGCGGTGGTCTGTTCCCGTAATGATTGACAGCTTCAGAAATCTTACGCAGGGTTACTATTAGTTGGAATAGAATGAGTTGATGTCATGAGTTTAGTTGTTTTTTGGAGGATGGAGGTGGTTTACTTATTGATAGAAATCAGTATTTTATTTTTGTTATTGTTAAGTGCTGTTGAGTCTGTTCCGACCCATAGCGATCCTGTGTAGGGTTTCCAAGGAGCAGCTGGTGAGCTTGAACCGCCAACTTTGCAGTTCAAACAACTTTGCAGTCTGGTGCATTAACCCACAGTGCCACAACAGTTAACACTTGCAAAAACATGTTTCCTTTACAGAAGCCCCTTACTTTTGACAGGAAGCAGTAGCTTTATTGATTCTATGATGTGTTTTATCTACTGCAATGATTCTTTTATTTCAGAATTCCATTGCCTTTATGTACCATGCTTTGGAAAGGAACGTACGGAAAATGTTGACAGATGGCTCACAGCAATTGCTTAAGCACATTTCTAGCCCTGCAGCGTCTTACTTCTTGTCATTACCGTATGCCAGACTGGGTTGGTAGGTGCTGATTTACTGAATTTGTGCATGCTTTCATATGTTTAGTTTCATTCAACCCTTCAACAAAAGTTTTATTTTCCAATCAACGTGTCATCAGCAAAAACATTTATTTAGTGGTTATGCTATTGTACGGGATGAAACTGGCTCCTCAATATTGTCAAAACATGTTGATACATAAGGAACTTTCAGTTTCCTAAACAAATACAACAGGTATTAACTGATAGAATATTTATTTGTAAAGTTTCAAATACACTGAAAGGTGTTTTGTTACAAACTTTTTATGGAATCAGATGACCTGAGGAGGCTATAAATCAATTTCCATTAGTCCATATATAGCTATTATCCTGTTGTTGTTGTTGTTGTTGTTGTTGTTAGGTGCTATCAGGTCAGTATAGGGTTTCTGAGGCTGGAAATCTTTATGGGAACAGAAAGCTTCCTTTTTCTCACATGGAGCAGCTGGTGGGTTTGAACTGCAGTTATCAGTCCAGTGCTTATCCCACAGAACCACCAGTGCTCCTTAATATAGCTTTTAGAGTGATTTGAATGTTCTGACTTCGTATAGTAAAAGCCTGGTACACCATGACAACTTTATAAAGAAAACATTAGGGATGCCTCTGATCATAAGAATCAACCAAAATGGAACCCAAGCATGTAACAGTGACTATTTTCCAGGGAGTTTTAGTGAAATATATTTTTTAGACCATGATGCTTAAATCCAAGCCACATGGTGTTTTCTTGGATTTACTGAGAGTCCTCCCTTTCTGGGCCCCTAGTGCATTCAGCTCTAGCCCAGAGGGATGGAAAGTGAATACCACTCACTGGTAAATAATGGCCCTTCTTGGATTCCTTCCTGCAAGGTCCAGAAGGATCCTGGTGGGCAGCAGCCACAGAGAGGCAGGCTTCCGGAGGTTGTTCCCTGTAACCTCTTACGGGCCAGCCTGGAGCTCAGGAGTACAGAGAGCATGAGCTGGTCCCCTGTCACCAGAAACCACACCCGTTAGAAATCATTCTCATTTTTATCTGTTCTGGCATTAAAAATATTTTTTAACTGTGGCAAATACATAAGAAAACAGTTGCTAATTTGACAAGTTTTGCATGTACGTTCATCATGTTGGATAAACATCACCACTAACTATCCTTTTCCAAATGACTCCAACACCATGAACAGAAACCCTGTGTCCCCACAGCTATGATGTCCTGTTCCTCCTCTCCCTCTCATGCCTGTTGTTAAGGGCCGTGGAGTCGGTTGTGACTCTTAACAACACTGTATAGGGTTTCCAAGGAGTGGCTGGTAGGTTTGAACTGCAGCCTTGTGGTCAGCAGTTCCATGCTTATCTTACAGCACCACACCAGAACTCCTCTTATGCCTGCTGCTATTTTAGCTAAGTGCTGTTGAGTTGCTTCTGACTCATAGTGACCCTGCCGTAGGGTTTCCAAGGAGCAGCTCGTGAGTTTGAACAACTGACCTTGCAGTTCAAACCAACCTTTCAGTCCGGTGCTTACCCTAGAGTGCCACGCCAGGACTCCTCCTCTCATGCCTGGTAATCTTTAATAAGCCTATTACATATAAGTGAAATGATACAATATGTGTCCTTTTGTGAGTAGGACTTATTTCACTCAACATGTTTTCAAAGTTCATCCATGTCGTAGCATGCATCATTGCTGTGTGTAACTGAGTAGCGTTCCATTGTACGGCTGTATCACATTTTGTTTATCCGTTCATCTGTTGATGGACATTTAGGTTGTTTTTGCCTTTTGGTTATAGTAAAGAATGTTGCCGTAGCTCTGGTATACAGGTTATTCCATTTGTTCTTTATTTTGCCATACAAACCAGAATAACTAAATGACTTTTGGTCCTTTCAGCCCCGATAGTGACATTTGCACCTTTGACTCAGTCTGCCCATCTGTAAAACTGGTTGAACATGGAATCTTATTTAGGAATGCCCACTAAATTTGTTGGGCATTTGATTTAGTCTGCTAAAAGGCACCCTTGTAAATATGGTAGAAATAAAACACTGTACAAGGAAGGTTCAACAAAAAGTTGGTTGAAAAACTCCATTATCTTTCCATTCCATTTTCCCCCATGTACTTTTTGAAGCCCTCTTCTGCATATAACAAGCTTGCATTTGATCAGGTGACCACTGGAAATTAGCTGAGAAGATCAGAAAGTGGTTTGCACCACTGGCTGGAGTGGAAGGCTGGTTTGGATGTGATTTCCTCCTCTGTTCACAGACCGAGCCCAGGGTTGTCCTTGGCTGATCAGGGTCCTACATTAGGGCCACTGATTGTTCAGGATGCTTTTCATCCGCTCAGGTCTGGTAACCCAGAAATGCCCAGACTTCCTGATTTGCACAGCTTTGTGTGTGTGTGTATAAACTTTTCCTCTGAGAGTAAGATTGTGAACAACACCAACAAAATACCACCTCAGAGGTGAATCATCTCAATAGCCAATCAAGATGGAAGAATCAGTGAGAGGAAGTTAAAGCACTGGATTCTAGAAAGGAAGAAGCAGAGAGTGTTTGCACATGGCACTCAGGGGATGCTGAGTGGACCACCTCTTCTCCTCTGTCTATAGGGCAATGGCTTCAGCAGACCTCAACCAGGATGGGTATGGTGACCTTGTGGTAGGTGCGCCCGGCTACAGCCGCCCAGGCCACATTCAGGTCGGGCGTGTGTACCTCATTTATGGCAATGACCTGGGCCTGCCCCCCGTTGACCTGGATCTAGACAAGGAGGCTCACCAGATCCTAGAAGGCTTTGAGGTGAGGCTTTCTTCTCATATTCCCCTCTTAGTGGCCATCATCCCACTGTCTGCATTCTGTGTGTGGCAGAAATTCTCCAGAATGAATCACCAGCAACAAGAATCATTACAGCAGCTGTCATTTTCAAAAGCACATTCATGCCATTTATTTCATTCTGTCCTTGATTTGACATCCCTGTGTGGTGCAAACGATGAACACAGTCAGTAATTGAAACATTGGAGGTTTGAGTCTACCTAAATGCACCTCAGAAGAAATGCCTAGCAGTTGACTTCTGAAAAATTCACCATTGAGAATTCCATGGGGCATATATCTACTCAACCACACATGAAGTTGTCATGAGTCAACTTGAGAGTAGCTGTTAGTTTCAGTAGTTAGTATCATCCTGATATGGTACTGCAGGATAAACACTAGAACTCAAGGTCCGTTTGAATTGCAAAGTTGGCAGTTCAAACTCACCAGCCGCTCTTCAGAAACCCCATACAGGGCTGCTATGAGTCAGAATCCCCTCGGCACTTAAAAACAACAACAGCATCATTAACTTTGGAGTCCTGGTGTAAGCACTGGACTGCTAATCACAAGGCTTGTGATTCAAACCTATCAGCCACTCCTTAGGAACCCTATACAGGGTCGCTAATGAGTCAGAACCAACTTGACAGCCCTTAATAACAACAACAAAATCATTAACTTTGAGTGTTTAGTCTAGTACCCTTATAAATGTACATACTGTTTGAAACTGCTTTGAATGGCCAATCAGGGAGTGAGGTCTTGATCATTCAAAACCTGCTTTTGTTAGTTTAATGTAAGCTATTTTTTGATATCAACTTTTCATTTAGGAATAATTTTCAGTTTATAATAGCGTTGTGAAGATAGTGCAGACAATTCTTAAATACCCTTCACTGGTTTCTCCTAGGGTTAATATCTTCTGTAACTAGTGCATATTTGTCAAAAATAAGAGCCTCACATTGGTCTATTACTATCAACTAAGTTCCAGACTTTATTCCGATTTCCTTCCTTTGCTTTAAGTGGTTCTTTATCACCAGCATAATCCCATCCTGACAACACAGATGTTCTTCATGCTGTCTGAACACTAATTCTTTATTGGAGTCCTAGGATCCTGAAGGATTTTCCAAACATTAGAGACAACAGTTCTTGCAACAGCAATAGGGAAGGGCAGACAGAGCCTTGCTGTTAGTCATAGACAAGTCTGGGAACGTTGGGTGCCTGACACTCAATGGAAGGGACTCTGGCCTTCAGTTCTTGTTCTGGGCAAGTCACCTTCAGCTGTGAAGAGAAAATAAGATAGCACATCTGAAAATGCTTTTAGAAATGAAAGTACAATAGTTTATGATCTAGTCTGTTGTTGTTACATGCTGTTAAGTCAGTTCCACTCATAGCGTCTCTGTGTAAAGAGTGCTGGTGGATTTGAACTGCCGACCTTGATCTAGTCTATTCTTTGATAAAATGATTCCTGAATCTAAGAGGTATAAACAAGTTGACTGCCAACGTATGGGGTCACAGAGTCCCAGAGGGACAGCATTGTCTGGAACCTTGTGGTGCTATAAGATAAGCACTGGACGGCTAACCACAAGGTGGGCACTTCAAGCCCACCAGCTGCTCCTCGGGAAAAAGATGAGGCTTTCTGCTCCTGTAATGATTCACAGCTTCAGAAACCGTGTACAGGAACTGACTCGATATCAATGAGTTCTATCCTTGAAGTTTCAAAATAAATGCACTCATTCCTGCTCCTCCTTACGTCTTCATGTAAAGTGCTTAGAGCAGTGTCTACAACAGCACTGTCCAAGAGAACTTTCTGCAATAATGGAAATGTTCTTTCATTGAGTATCTGTGTTGCTCAGTGCAGTAGCCATTGGCCACATTGGTTATTATAGCTAAATGCAAAGTGACTAAACATTAATCCAATTAGGGAGCCAGTGAGTTCTTCAGTTGCGTTAACCACATTGACTACTGAACACTTGAAACGTGCCTGGTACCACTGAGGAAGTGACTTCTGAATTTTATTTAGAGTTAATTGCTTTGCATTAACTATAATAGCCACATATACTAGTGGCTATAGTATTGGACTGTGTGTCTCCTGAACATCTTGAGTATTCAACTGTTAGCTGCTATTGCTGGTTAGTGATATGATTGTTAGTTTGGATGCTTTGTAAAAATTGGGATTTAATGATGAGTATAGTACATGTCAGACCATTTTCTAAAAACCCAGGACTTATAAGAACTGACTCTCTACTTTTTGGCTCATTGTCTGCATACCTCAAGCACACATACATACATACCAAAATGACCCTTCATGCAGAGCTAACCAGTCCGGTATGCCCGATGTTAGAAGTTGCTTGATTTTTGTTCTTCATCCCTTGGATGAGGGGAGTGACCCCAGGTCACTCTAGTTTTGAGTCACCTCTTCTGTTGATGCTTGTGTGCCGAGGGGGAGGCTGAAGGTAGGGCAAAGCCGGGGGAAGTAACCTGTGCCTCTCCAGCCCGCAGGTCGGTTTGGTTCAGCCGTGGCCGTGCTGGACTTCAATATGGATGGCGTGCCTGACCTGGCCGTGGGAGCGCCCTCGGTGGGCTCTGAGCAGCTCACATACAAAGTAAGGCTGGTGTGTGGTGAGTGGGGTGTTTCCCCATGGCTTGGGAGCATGGAGTGGAAGGAGGGGAGGCCAGTGCTGGATACGGCTTCTGGAGAAAAGCAGTTTTTCTGACAGAGCATTTGTGGGCGGTTGATCTTGGGCGCCATTCAGGTCCTTGTGACCTTGGCTTGCCTTCCAGCACGTGTTCCTGCCTCCGCTCCCATGGCGAATTTTGGCATCATAGTTTCCAAATGTCATCAGGTTACTTTGTTGTTGTTTTTTTCATAATACCGAATGCTAATGAAGGGAAACAGAAATTCCAGCTAGTGTATAGCTTCCTGTCATCACAACTGAGAGCTGGCTTCTGTAGACCTTTCCTCTCATACACAGAACTCAATCTGTGTGTTCCCTTTGTCCTCTTACCACAGAAGGACCACAGGCTCACTTCTCACCTGCACTAGTACATACCAGAGTGGCGCAGGGGCGTCTGGGCCCTGGTGTGACCATGGAGGCTCAAGACTCTTTATTTCCTGCGCCTGGCCCTCTGCTGGCTCACCTCTGCCTCTTCTTCTTCATACTCTAACCTGCAAATCATCTGTAATTTCCTGAGCCTGCCATGCTCTCTCACTTTGGGGTCTTGGCTCACACAACCCTCTTCCTGAAAAGCCTGTACTCTCTTTTTTTTTTTTCCTTTAGCAGTGGTATGTCACTTGTTGCAGGAAGCATTGCCTAACCTCTGGGTTAGGCAGTATTTCATTGTCTTCACATAGCATCCTGTGCTTGCTCCTATCAGACACTTTGCACACTGCGTCATCATTGTTGGTTTACCAGCCTTTCAGGAGGACCGAGATTGGTCTTGTTCATCCTGCCTCCATTACTTGACTCATGATTCCCTACAGCTTACTTAGCTCATGCTGGGACCTAAATGCTGGTAGGATGGACAAATTAATGGAAAAGGAGAGAGACAAGTAAATAGGTAGGATTTGATTCATAACACAAAGTGATAGCTCAGGATGTGTCCCAAGGCAAATAAATGGTTGTAGACATGGTGAGTGAGTGTTCAAAGCTATAATGGGCTGGCATGATCAGGGATGGATGCATGGAGAAGCCAGAAACTGACCTTGGCCTTGAATAGGGGGAGTCTTACTGCAAACGATGAATAATTATACTAGTTAAGTCAGAGAGTATTGCTACAAAATCACGGAAACCTTTATTAAATAAAAATATCAAAATATGAATCCATTGTTTGTAGACATGTCCTCCATGTAGGTCTATACGCATCTGAAGGTGGTCTTTCCTTCTCTCTGGACCTTCCCCAAAGAACTCTGCACTCTTGGGTGGACACCATGTCAAAATGATAGGCTTGGCATCTTGACGAATTGAAATCATGCTCCTGTTCCATGTTCTTTGAGTTTTTGAAACAAAATGACATCTGAAGGGGCAAGATAAGGGCTGTTTGGTGACTGGGGTAAAGGATCCCAGTGAAGTTGAGATTGGGAAAAATTCCTTGTTGCAATTTTCCTGACCTTTTTCTCATCAATGCAGATTTCAGTTTTCTTAAAACTTCTTTCTAATGGTTCCCATAATCATGGTTCCTTTAAGAAAATATGATTACCCCTTTGGAATCTCAAAAAAACGTTGATGTAACCTTCTGAGCTGACCTCTCTACTTTGAATTTACTGGTCCAGTAGATCCCTCTGAAGCCACTGTTTTGATTAAAGCTTGCTCTCTGAATTGTATTGGTAAATCCAAAATTGTACTTGGTTATGATTCAATCCATAAATTTGTTTTCATTAGCTTCAATCTTGCCTAAAAGACTAATGGTACAATCAGCTTATTAAGCTAGCTGCTCTCTGTGTAATACTTTGGCAACATCAAGCCAAAAGCTTGCTGAGGCCAAGATGTACATTGTCTAACTCCAGTAGTTTTCTTCCAGCAGTTTCTATATTTGCCAAGGTTGACAGTCTCCCTTCTCTTGGCTCACCTTTGAGATCTTCCCGATCACTCTTACAATGCTTGATCCATCTAAAGACTGTTGTTTTATGTGGGGAAGCATTCCCTGTAAACTTGTTGCAAAGCTTCAATGATTTGTGAAGATGTTCACTTGAGTTTTTTGTTAAAAATTTAATGTTAGCTCTGACCTCAAAATCATTTTTCCCATGGCACAAAAAATATACTTTCTTTTGAAGACACCCTAACGAGTCTAAGACAAGTGTATTACTAAGAGAACTTGCCTACAGACATTTACTAATTGCAGAGACATGTTAAACATGTTTTCTTAGAAAAATGTGTTGTTGTTAAGTGCCATGGAGTCCGTTCTGACTCATAGTGACCTTGTGTACAGTTTCCAAGGAACAGCTGGGTTTGAACTGCTGACTGTGTGGTGTGCAGTCCAGTGATGATCCTACAGTGCCATATCAGGAGCCTACAAAATAGACCTGTGCGTATATGAACCAGAATCCTAATAGCGATACTTTCTGACTTACTGCTGTATCACAAGGGGGAGGCTTTCATGCACAGAAATTTGTCACCTCAGAGTGTAGTAGTATAGAAGTCTGAATTCAGGGCTCCAGCTCTAGGAAAACGCTCCTCTCTCTCTCCGCTCTGGAAGAAGGCCCTTGTCTCGTGTCCACATTTGTTCCTGGGTTCCTTGGTGTCCATGTGGTTTGTATCTTCCCTTCATTTGTGCTTGTTTTGCTTGCTTACTCCGCTGTTGTATATTTCTAAAGAGATTGATCTAAGACAGACCCTACACTACTACTGCCTCATTAACATAACCAAATTAACCGGTTCCCAAATGGGATTACAGACACAGGTAGAGGAGTTAGGACTTTCAGCACCATTTGGAGGGAACACAATTCACTTCCTGGCAGGGGGGCTTTCATGGTGTGTTCGGAATGCACAGGTAGGGTTATTCTCAGCCACTGAGCTCCTGACCACAGGTGTCCCTGATGGTGACTGATGTCAGAGTCAGACCTCCTCACCTTGCTGTTCTTGAGGTTCTCGGGTCGCCACCTGACCCTTATGATCACTCTGTCGTTTGTCCTTGTGTAGGGAGCAGTGTACATCTACTTTGGTTCACAACAAGGAAGGATGTCTTCTCCCCCTAACATCACCATCTCTTGCCAGGTAGGTTTACCTCCTTAGCCAGGCGCAGAAACTAGGGTTCTCTATCTCCTTGCCTTCAGCGCTGAGTAAAAAAAGTGGTGTCCTGGTTTCCTCCTAAGGACACCTACTGTAACCTGGGCTGGACACTCCTGGTCACGGATGTGAATGGAGACAGCGAACCTGATCTGGTGATTGGGTCTCCCTTCGCACCAGGTGGAGGGAAACAGAAGGGAATTGTGGCTGCGTTTCATTCTGGCCCCAGCCAGAACCACAGAGGTAACGCTTGTCGGGGGTGATGGGAAGAGACTGCACTGTGTCTCTGCATCTGTGATCACTTCTGTTACATACGATTTATGTCCTTCTTCCTCCTTCCTTATCATTCCACACTCTTATAGATGGCCTAGCAAGTGACATTAATACAGTCACTACAAAAACAAAACAAAACAAAAACAGTCAAACTCTTACTCTGATACAGTCTTTAAATCTTAAACCAAAACTATTCCCTGAAGTCTCCTTAAAACCAGACAACCGTGTAGCTTAACTACTAAAAAAAATGTCTTCCTTGAACATTGTGCTCTTTTAAGATCTCATTACATGGGACCAAAATGACAACAGCAGCTTAAATATTAGATAACAAACAGGGGGCCATGAGTTGATGTTAAAGGGTCAGGAACAACTCAGAAAAGGGTGGGAATGATAACACAACTCAGAGACTGTAATCAATGTCACTGCACTGTGCATATAACAACGATTGACTTGGTGTCTTTTCTGCTGTGTCTATCCTCATCCTGATACGGTGTTGCGGGATAATGCGCTTAACTGCATAGTCAGTTTGAACCACAGGCAGCAGTTCATACTTGCCAGTTGCTCCTCAGAAACCCACTATAAAATGCTGTGAGTCAGAAATGGTTTGGTGACACTTCGCAACATATTCTCAACAACAACAACAAAATAATATATATATATTTTAAGAAATAAGCCTTAAAACATATATATAAGTTAGCTATAAGTTCCTTGCTCAGCCAATAAAAAACACTTCATCTTTAAAAAAGAAAAAAAAGTAATCTAGTTCCCAGATCTAAATTTAAAGGGTACCAGGATTATTATCATAATTTCCTCATTTAAGAATACATAGTTTAGGGAGGTTTAGGACCAAAGAGTTGTCAGTAGGCCTCTAAAATGCCCACAGAAAGGATTCTTTTTTGATATTCTGTGGCCTCCACACAGGAGAAATGAGCTCTAAAAGTGTATTTCTTAAATAAAGTGTGAGATCTATTCTTGATGTTGGAGTTCCTGGAAACAGCACGGGGGCATTTAAAAGTTCTGGTAAGAACTCAGGAGAAAGAACCTCAGTTTCTCATCAGCCTACACATGGGCCTACTCTTTCCACTCCATTTGTCCTCCCAAGTATTGGGCTGTTAACCACAGAGTCAGCAGTTCAAAACCACCAGCTGTTCTTCAGGAGAAAGACGGGACTGCCTGCTCCCATGAAGATGAACAGTCTTGGAAACTTGGAGCGGTTCTACTCTGTCCTATAGGGAAGGTCACTCTGGGTCAGAACTGACTTGATGGCAGGAGGCTTTCTTTTTGTTTTTGTTGTTTGGTAAAGTAAAATGGACTCATTGTCTTGTTTAGAAAAGCTAAGTGTGGAGGCGGCTAACTGGTTGATGAGAGGTGAGGAAGACTTTGCCTGGTTTGGATACTCCCTCCATAGTGTCAGCGTGAACAACAGGACTTTGCTATTGGTTGGGAGTCCGACCTGGAAGAATACCAGCAGGTGAGCACTGGTGTTGGAGCCTAGGAACATCCTCCTTTGGAAACCCATTCAGTGTGACGTTTAGAGAAAGAGGCTAAGAAAGTCTTTGCCTTTAGGGAAAATCTTAGGCTCTGGCAAGGTTGCAAATTCTCCTTAGAAGTTTAAAAATTAGGTAGACAGATCTCTCTATATTTGGTATATGGGGACAGTGGGGGTTAAATGGTAGAATTCTTCCCTGCACTGCAGACGTGCAAAGCCACCACCCACCTGTCATGAGACTTGTCTGCTGCTCTGATGTGGAATAGGTTTCAGCAGAGCTTCCAGACTCAGATGGTAGAGGAGGAGTGGCAACCTTCAGCTGAAAAGTCAGCCAATGAAAAACCCTATGGATCAGGACAACCCAATCTGCAACCAATCAGGGGATGGCACAGGACTGGAGAGCTTTTCATTCCATTGGGCATGGGGTGATAGCTAACAATAATAATACTAACAGCATATTTGTTGTCATTTGAGAGGCAGAATGGTGGGCGTGTTATCTGGAGAATGCACACACCCATCCATCCTAGGAGAAGCTGATGGGTGTGGATGGGGATGAGGTGCATTCTCTTCCTCTGGACCGGTCCAGGCCTGCTTGTCTCTGAACTCCTGGCCGGCCCCTACACCTGTGCCAGGAGGCTGAGCCCTGTGTGCTTTGTTCCAGTCTAAGCCATTTATTCCACAACAATAATGAGAAACAAAACCTCGGAAGGGTGTATGGCTTCTTCCCGCCAGATTCTCAAAGCTGGTTCACAATTTCCGGAGACAAGGTACGGCAGCCCCTCGCCAGGAGTGGGGACCCGACAGAGCTGTCTTAGCACTACAGTATTGATTATTGCATTTCACAGGTGATGGGGAAACTGGGTACTTCTCTATCCAGTGGTCATGTGGTGTTGAACGGCCTCCTGACACAAGTGCTGCTGGTGGGGGCTCCGACTCACGGTAGGTCGCTCCCAGTGGCACTGCTTTCTTGTTGTTCAGTCCTGTCTACCATGGGCGAGCTGGCTTTCCATGTCTGGCTATCACTCTGGATCCAGACTCATGGAGGAGGCACTATCTGGAACACTGGCATTCTCCATGACGGGGCAAGGAGGAAGTGTGGCCAAGCATGTACTGGATCGAACATTTCTAGACAGAAATGACCATGTCTGCTCATATGTCATTGCCCAGAGCACATGGCAATGCCAAATTCCACTGTTTCCTTTTAGTCATGTGGTTCCTTGATCACATCAAATAGGGTGAAAGTTACGGGGTTTTTTCTTAATTTTTTAAAATGTGTACTATAATCTACTGTTTAATTTGCATCCCAAAGGCAGTGAGCTATTTGGAAATGGTAGACACTTTTAATGTTTCTGAACCCTTCCCCTTTAAAATCTAAGAATTTTTAAAAATTATTATTATTTGATGAAATGATTCTAAATTATATAGTATATTCCTCTGCTTTTACAGACTAGTGGATATTAGAATTTTGGGAGTGATAATCACATTTCTTCCCCTCCCTGGTGCCTTTCAAATCATTGAAAAGTAGAACCATGAATCATCCAGATAAATATCAAAATATGTGCTCTAAAAAACCACATCTAGCAGGACTGGAGAACATCGGTTAGAGGAGAAGTTGGTTCTGACCCATAGCAACCCTGTATAGGGTTTCTGTGGAGCAACTAGTGAATTTGAACTGCTGACCTTTTAGTTCAAACCAACCTTGCAGCCTAGTGCTTATTCTATAGCACCGTACCAGGTTGAGCTTAATTAGTAAAGAAATGTCTGCCTTAAGCATTGTCCTTTTTAAAAGAATTATTCATATGGGCTCAAATTGACAAGAGAAACTCCAAAGTTTGGATGCTCAGTTAGCAGGCAGTGAGTTTATGTTAATTAGTGGTGGTGGAGTAATTTGATTGGCCGCACAACTTGAAGAATGTAATCGGTGTCACTGAATAACTGCACATGTACAAACTGTTGAATTGGCATATGTTCTGCTGTGTAGATTTTTATCAAAAATATTAAATTACAAAAGAACAATCCAGTGGAACACAATTCTGCTTTAATACTCATGAAGTCACTATGAATGGGAACCAACCCCATGGCAATTGGTTACTGGTCTGTAGAACCAAGCTAAGTAGAGTGGATTGTTGTTGTGGTTATATGCCGTGGAGTCAGTTCCGACTCATAGCCATCCTGTACAGGGTTTCCGAGTCTGTAAATCTTTACGGGAGCAGAAAGCCTCATCTTTCTCCTGCGGAACAGCTGGTAGTTTCAAACTGCTGACTTTGCGGTTCACAGCTCGATTCGTAACCACTACGCTACCAGAGCTCCTTTAAGTATAGTGGGTAGAAGGACTAAAATCTATTGCTTATGGAATTGATAGCCTGATACAAGAGATGTGCAAGTCAACAGAAAATTCTGCTGCCCTGCCATCAGTGCTAGGTTAGCACAAGGTACAGTATGTTATATGAACATGTAGCGGGAGCACTGTCTTAGTATCTAGTGCTCTTATTACCTCACAGTCTAGGGTGCTCCAAGTCTGAATTGAGGGCCCATGCTCTAGAGGAAGGCTTTGTCTCTCTGTTGGCTCTTGAGGAAGGTCCTTATTCTTTGGCTCCTATATCTTCATGTGGCATGGCTACTATCTGCTCCCTTCTCTGCTTGCTCCTCCATCCTAATAGGCTCTTATTACAACTCTAAAGTGATTGACTTAAAATCACACTCTACACTGCTACTGTCTCTGTTGTTGTTGTTGTTATATGCTGTGGAGTCAGTTCCGACCCATAGTGACCCTGTACAGGGTTTCCAAGGCTATAAATCTTTACGGGAGCAGAAGGCCTCATCTTTCTCCCACGGAGCAGCTGGTAGTTTCAAACTGCTGACCTTAAGGTTCACAGCCCGATTCGTAACCACTACACCGTGTCGCTGTGAGTCAGAACCGACTCCATGGCACATAACCACCACCACCACACTACTGAAAACCCATTCCCAAATGGAATTCTACCCACAGGCATAGGATTAGGATCCACAGTACATATTTTGGAGGTACACAGTTCAATTCACAACAGGCCTGCTGTAGATCAGGGAGGTTAGAAAAGACTGCAGAGGGGGTGACCCCCAAGCCAAGTTCTCAGGACTGAGCTGGCAGAGAGCTGGACACAGAGGAGAGTGTGAGGTGTGGGGAAAGGCAGTCTGTTGCATCTTCAAGGTCAGAGGTCTAGATTTAAGAATATGATGGCCTGTGGTTTAAATTCACACTGAGTAAAGTATGGATGAAAAGGGGGAAGTAGCCTGGAACGATGCTGCAGTCACAGAGAGGACTTAGATTAAGTAGGGACTTGTCAGAAGCTTGTACTTCACCCAGGTTTTCTAAGTCAGGAGAGACACATAGCAGGTTTATGATGTAAAAGGAAAAAGATGGAAAATGTACAGCGGGGGTATAAATGGAAGGAGGTGTGGTGCTGAGTGTTAATGAGCTGGACTGGAAGGTCGGTTTGAACTGCAAGGTTGGTGGTTCAAGCTCACCAGCTGCTCCTAGGAAACCCTATACAGAGTTGCTATGAGTTGGAACCAACTCAACGGCAGTTAACAACAACAAGCTGTATGATGAGATATTGTTGAGTTTATTCAACTTTTGAATCTTGGTACACAAGCTAGGTGTGTCTTCCTAACAACCAAGAGATGAGACCAACACAAAACTGGAGGCACAGCAGGATAAGCATTGTGCTGCTAACCACAAGTTCAGTGGTTCAAACCCACCATCCTCTTCCTGGGAGAAAGATGCTCCTGTAAAGATGTACACACTCAGAAACCCTAATGAGCAGTTTCACTTTTCCTATAGGGACACTATGAGTTGGAATTGACAATGAGTTGGTGGTAGGTCAGTGGAAACATGACCATTTTGTATGGTGCTGAGTGATTTGCATCCCTGCGGTATTCAAGGAGAAGCAGTAATACAATTCCACCTGATGCGTTACTTATTACTTTTATTCATGTGATGCCAACAGGTATTTCTGATCTATTACTTTGGTTCCTTTCAGATGATGTGTCTAAAATGGCATTCCTGACCATGACCTTGCCCCAGGGCGGATCCACCCGGATGTATGCTATAACACAGGATACACAGCCGGCTCTGCTCAGCACCTTCAGTGGGGACCGCCGCTTCTCTCGATTTGGTGGAGTTCTGCACCTGAGTGACCTGGATAATGATGGCATAGGTAGGAAAGGAACAGCGTCCTTAGCCAAGTAGAATTGAGCCTGCTAACAGCAAGGTCAGCAGTTCGAATCTACCAGTCATTCTGATGAAGAAAGATGAGGCAGCTTTGGATATTTATAGCCAAAGATTTACAGGGTCGCTGTGAGTCAGAACTAACAGACTTCAGTCAAGCTTCCTGACTAAGACCCACTAGGAAGAAAGGCCTGTGATGTACTTCTGGAAACCAACCGATGAAAGCTCCATTCACAGAAGAACACTGTTTGATGTGGAAGCTGGATTCTGAAGATGGCGCAGGACCAGTGTACATTTTGTTCTCTGACATTCCATCATGGGGGTCCCTCTTAGTCAGAGCCAACATGACAGCAACAGTCATAATGGTGACTGCTGTGACTCTGTAAGATAAGTACTAGACCACAAAGTCGGTTTGAACCACAAGGTCAGCAGTTCAAACCCACCAGCCACTCCTTGGAAAACCTATACAGGTTCACTCTGAGTTGGAAGTGACTCGACAGCACTTAACAATAACAACAATAGTTATAATAGCTTCTACACTCAGGAAAACTTTGAGTCTCCCATGTCACTTGCTATAGATGAATGATGAAATAGGACAGAAAATTTTTGCCTCTGTCAGGGTGAAATTAGTGTAGACTTTTTAAAGGACACATTCGTATTATTTATGGGCTGTTGGTTTGGCACCCAGTAGTGGAACAATGGAGCAGATGACAGGAAGGGATTACTACATAGTTTGTATATATCCAGTACTTCCTTGGTCTCTGATTGTTTTCAGATGAAATCATCATAGCAGCCCCATTGAGGATAGCAGATGTAACCTCTGGACTGATGGGGGGTGAAGACGGCCGTGCGTATGTATACAATGGCAAACACATCACCCTTGGCGACATGACAGGCAAATGCAAGTCATGGTTCACTCCATGTCCTGAAGAAAAGGTAAGGTGTTGTCCTACAAAATTCTACACCCTATGGGAAAGGACCACTACATGCTGATTCCTTGTTAAGTCATGCCCACAGTAAAACTCTTACACTTTTACTTGAACTCGGGGGTCCTGGGGTCAGGACATGATCACTATAGCACTTGTTTCATAGGCCCAAGTCAACCCATTGGCTGCTCCTCGGAAACCCTATACAAGGTTGCTAAGCGTCGGAACTGAGTCGCTGGCACTTAACAACATTGTGCTCTTGAGAAGCCCTGGTGGCACAGTGGTTAAGTGCTTGGCTGCTAATCAAACCATTGGTGGCCTGTTGATAAACTCCTATAAAGAGTACGGCTTAGGAAACCCTCTGGGGCAGTTGTACTTTGTCTTAGAGGGTTACTATGAGTGAGAACTAACTCAAGGGCCCACACTAACCTTGCACATTTACACTGTGCCTAACAGTGTGCCAGCTGCTTTATGTACATTCAATCTATACATCAAAGCTAAGAAGTTGGTACTATGCCCACTTACAGATAGAGAGTAAAGATCAGAGAGGTGGTTTGTTCAAGGGCACACAGGTAAGAAACTGCAGAATAAAAGATTTTAACAAAGATTTTATTCTAAAGCAGATTCTTAACCACTACAGTATGTGTGTGTATGGTTTTATTAGCAATTGTGACCACATTTTCATGATTTTGTTTGCAACTTAATAAACTGTTGTTGCTTTTTTAAAACTTAGTAGCAGATCAAGAATATTTTTCTATGCTATCCTAAATTCTTATCCAATGTAATGCTGACTGCCAAGTGTTTTATCTAGACAAGCCTTGGTTTAACTATTGTATAAAGAGCCCGGTGGTACTGTAGGGTAATAAGCAAGGTTCAAACCCACCAGCTGCTCTGAGAGAGAAGGAGGAAGTGTCCTGCTCCTATAAAGATGTATAACCTCAGAAAACGGATACAGGACTGCTGTGAGTTGGAATTGACTTGATGGCAGTGGGTTTGGTTTTGATACATATTTTCAGTGACTGTTATTCGTCACTTCGGAGTCCTGGTGTGCTGCTGTAAGACAAGCACTCTACCGCAGGGTCAGTTTGAACTGCAAGGTTGGTGGTTCAAATCACCAGCCGCTCCTCAGAAACCCTATACATGGTCAATATGAGTCAGAACTGTACTCGACGACATTTAACCACAACAAAATTATTAGTCACTTAGGTTATTTACAATTTTCATGATTCTAAATAACGATATTTACATGTTAACACTTTAAGAAACAAAGAGTCCTGGTAGAGCCGTGTGTTAAGTGTTGGGCTGCTAACCACAAAGTTTGTGGATCAAACCCACGAGCCACTCCATGGGAGAAAGATGAAACTGTCTGCTTCTGTAAAGATTTAGTCTTGGAAATCCTAAGGAGCAAGTTTACTCTGTCCTCTAGAGTCACTATGAGTTGGAATTGACTCAGTGGCAGTGAGTTCTTTTTATAAACATCAGCTTGTTTTTCTGAGCTAATTCCTAGAAGTGCCATTTTGGAGTGAAAAGGCATGCATTTTTTAAAATTATGTGGGAAATATAGAAAAATAATCATTCTCACTAATGTAAGAGTATATATAATTAAAGATTTAAAAAATAACTCATAAACACTAATAACATTAATAGTCTCCCCCCATTTTTTTTTTCTTTCAGGCCCAATATGTATTGGTTTCTCAAGAAGTAAGTACTTCTTGAAGGTTTCAAAAATGAGAAGTTTTAAAACATGCCTTTTCAAACCCTTGCCGTTTACAACTACTGTGACAAACTCTTATGGTAACTTCTCCAAAGGTCACTAACAGACACTGTATTTCACAGGCAAACTCGAGGTTTGGCAGCTCTATGATCACTGTGAGGTCAAAGGAAAAGGTAAGCACAGGGGCGGCACTTTGATGTTTATATTTGTTCTAAGGCTGGGATTTGGTGAGAATTTATTCTGTTTATATTTTGATAGTATTTTTATTGGGAGACTAGAAGCACACACAGTAAAATTGACCTAATACCATCATTTTTTTTCTTTTTTAATGAAAACCCCCTCCCTTCCCCTCCAATTTCGTCCTTTATAGAAGGGATTAGCAAATTACTACGGTCCACAGGCCAAATCCAGCCTTTTTATACAACCCACGAACTAAAAGACGGTGATTGCATTTAACTTGTTGAGATCCAGAAGGCTGCCTCCTAACACATGCCATTTATATGTCATTCACATTTCACTGCCTATAAAGTTTTATTAAGGAGCTCTGGTAGCATAGTGGTTACGAATCGGGCTGTGAACCGCAAGGTCAGCAGTTTGAAACTGCCAGCTGTTCCGCGGGAGAAAGATGAGGCTTTCTGCTCCCATAAAGATTTACAGACTCGGAAACCCTGTACAGGGTCGCTATGAGTCGGAACTGACTCTACAGTACTTAACAATAACACCGAAGTTTGATTGGAACATAGCCTCACTATTTTTACTCATAGTGTAATGGCAGCATCAGAAACAGTCTGTCACACTAAACCTAAAATACTACCTTCTGACTCTTCACAGAAAAAGTGTGCAATCCTTACCTTATCCAATAACCATTGTTAATATTTTGGTGTGCTTTATTTCAGACTTTTCTTTCAAAACTTTTATATGACTACAAATACACAAACATACAGATGAAATTTATTTCCACTTGTCATTATTTCATTTTAGTGGATTATATTATGTACATATAAAGTTACCTCCTGAGTCGTTTAAATGGCTGCACAGTATTTTATTATCTGGATGCAACATTCTTATTTTATTAGTTCACATCCTCATAGACATTTAAGTTACCTCCAATTTTCCTTTTCTTTAACTGTTACAATGCTTCAGTGAAATGTCTTACATCTACATCTTTATATAATTGTGCAAATACCCTGGAGATATTTCTAGAAGTAGAAATGATAGATCAAAGGTTACACACATTTGAAATTTAATATTTTTTTTAAAAAGGGTTTTATTTTAAAATATGCCTGTAAGTCACTAATGATATAAAGTGAACCATAAAGCATTCATTCATTTTATGATTTTGTATAAAGCTGTGCTAGTCTATGAGAGATATAAAGAAACAGAGGATAAAGACCCTGCTCTTGAGAGAAGCTAAGATTTTTGCATTTGGGAAGTTCAATAAAATGCCTATTGGTACAGCCTGAAGAGTAAGCATTCACTGTGGTCTGAAGGACTGGGAAGCGGCCATACATTTAGAATATGAAACGAGGTCTGTAGGCATGCAGTGGAGGTTCAGTGGTAAAATCCTTGCCTTCCTTGAGGAAGACCTAGCTAGGTTTGATTCCCAGCTAACGTACTCCAAATACAGCTACTTGTCAGTGGAGGTTTGCATGTTACCACGTCAGGTTTCAGCAGAGCTTCCAGACTAAGAGAAGGAAGGCAGGCCTCGAGAGCTGATCCTGAAAACCTCACCACAAATCCAATCGTATGCACAGGGTCCAAGACTAAGAGGCTAACTCAATGGCAGCTAAAACTAACCAGGTCTATGTTGTTGTTAAGTGTCTTCGAGTCGGTTCTGACCCATAGTGATCCTGTATAGGGTTTCTGAGGAGTAGCTGGTGAGCCTGAACCGCCGACCTTGCAGTTCCAGCAGCTTTGCAGTCTGGAGCAATAACCTACAGCGCCACACGAGGACTCCAACCAGGTCTATGAGACTTGGTAAATGCTAAGGGAGAGCCCTGAGCACAGTGGTTAAGCGCTTACAGCACTTCTAACCCACCAGCTGTTGGACAGGAAAGGGATGTGGCAGTCTGCTTCTGTAACAGGTTTTCTTTCAGTTTTTCATGGGGCACTTCGAATCTGCCCTGTAGCATCCCACAAGTCGGGGTTGACTTGACGGCAGCAGGTAATGATTTTGGTTTTAGAAGTGTTAAGAATTGTGGTGACATTGCCCTCTAGTGGCCAGCATTTCAAGTGGCCTTTGCTTTAATCTAAACATTCCAGTCAGTTTGATGATCCACACTTCATTTGCCAGTTTTGGTCCAGAATAACTTTTGGTAGTTTTCAAAAATCAAATCCAAACTCAATGTCTGAAGATGTACTGCCATTGCAATGTTGAAAACTTGTAGCAGGTTTTGAAGGTAATTCTGAAACACAGTTCCTAAAATGTTTCAAGTATCTGGAGCAATATGAGGTGGTGTTAAGCACTATTGAGAAAACCAAGTTGTGAAAGTCATTATTCCAGATATATTGTCCACATTGCACCACAAGTGAAATCCTGGACTAAGCATGTAGCGATTGTACATTTCCTTTAATGCTTTATGTGGATTGTTAATTCCTTAGCTGTGGTTTTTAGAACATAGGGATCTGAGAAAGTGGTATTTCAGCAAGAAGGCATTTAAGTGCAAGCCATGAGGGTCTATTCCATATCTTCATCTTTCATGTCCAGTGCATACCATGATGCTGATAGTTGGGATGTATGAATAATTCATTTTGTCTGTGTTGTGTCTCCTAACAGAACCAAGTTGTCATTGTTGCTGGAAGGAGTTCTTTGGGAGCTCGACTTTCTGGGGCGCTTCACATCTATAACCTTGGCTAAGATGAAAGCCTGCTCTATCTTTCTACCATCCCTCCCTCTCCATGCTGAGTCCTGTCCAGGGAGAGTTCTGGTGGATGCCCGATAGAGCGATGGTAGATCTGATCAGAGGTGGGGCTCCTGACCAGAGTGGAGACACAGCACTACAACCAGGGCGTCTGGAGATCTTAGACAATCACACGATGGCACCAGAAGTATGTGAAATAGGACTGGTGATTCAGGTCCCCTTGCAAAACTTATAGCCTTTGCATTGAAACCTTTCTTCTTTCTCCCCTAACTAGTTTGTCTTTGCTCAGGCCTGTTGGGCAACCTATTTTCTCTTCCACTCAAATACCTATCATGTCCTTTCAATGCTTAAGAAGACTTCTCTTGTGTTCTCTTAGGAAAAAGGCTTTACACAGTTCCTCCTAAAGACACCTTCCTGTAACTGGTGATCTGTCCCAAAGTGTAGCAGAAATCATAGTATCCAGAGATAACATTGGGGAAGCAGGAGACACAGTACAATGAGAATGGACAGCAATGGTAAATCTTAGAACTCCAAAACTATTTGTGAATGATTGTCCTTAATGAAGGCTGTATCAATATTTTAGAGTGAAGGATAAATACAAATACTAAAACTCGATCACCTGTTTTCAAATGCCTTTGCAGAGATGACTGTTCTAACAGCGTATCAACCCAGAGCCTAGTGATGTCCTACCTAAGTCATACTAAGAAGGGCCTTTGTTAGTTACTTTGTTATTGTGTGCCATTTAGTAAGTTCTGACTCATAGTGACCCTGTATAGTGTTTCTGAGAGTCGCTGGTGGGTTTGAACAGCCGACTTTGTGGTTAGCAGTCCAGTGCTGACCCTCCAGCACCACACCTTAGGTTGCCACCAGTTGTGCCAACAGGGAAATTAGAGAAGGGAGCACCGCCTGGCTGAGCTGAAGACGACTCACTAGGGAAGGGCCCAGGAGAAATGAAGCAGGCCTTGACCTCACTGCTCCCTGGGCTGCTTCAGAAGGTGAACTTCATTTCCAGCCCTGCAAGTGTGACACACATGTAAGGAAAAGGCAGGCTTCACGTTCATCAGTACTTCAGCCAGGAACACAGCCAGAGTTTTACACTATCAGCAGACACAGGAACAGTGAAATGGAAAAACACATTAACTGGTTGATTATTTTGTATCTATTGGGGAAAGCACTTCTTTTTTTCTGATACTGGTGGTGGTGTGCTGTGGAGTCGGTTCCGACTTACCGTGACCTTGTACAGGGTTTCCAAGGCTGTAAGTCTTTACGGAAGCAGAAAGCCTCATCTTTCTCTCACAGAACAACTGGTAGTTTCGAACTGCTGACCCTGAGGTTAGCAGCCCAATTCGTAACCACTATGCTACCAGAGCTCCCTACTAGTGAACTGATATAAAAGCAGGAGAAAATTATGACAAGAGCCCTCTCAGCTTCTCTCGAGGCAGAACTGGTGGAAGGGACGGGAAGGAAAATCTAGATGAAGGGCAGAAGTCATAAGTCAAGGAAAAGCTACTCAGGTGAAAACTGTGAGCCTACAGTGGGAATACAGATGAAAATCACCTAAATGGGCACCTACTTTCCTAGCACCTTTGAATCCCTCAGGGGATGATCTCACCCCGTTATAGCACAAAAAGGACATAAAACACCACTTGGTTATGTTTGTGTAGCAATTACTGGCAGTTCAACCTATTTGAAGAATTATTTTTAATTAAAAGGAAGTATCTTTTTAGGGGACCTGAAATTACTTAACTGTATTCACTTAAGAGTTGCTACGTCTGAGTGTAGAACAAACTGATGACGCTGGCACTGCATTTGAATAAAGGCATTTCCCTCGGATATTGGATCCTTCCATCTGAAAGATGCATACTTCTGTACTGTGTTTGTCATTTTACTTCACCAAGCAATGTTGTTTAAGTGCCGTCCAGTCAGTTCTGACTCATAGTGGTCCTGTATAAGGTTTCTGAGGAGCAGCTGGAGAGTTTGACCCACCAATGAACTGCTGACCTTGCGATTTAAATGACCGTGTGGTCCAGCGCTTTATCCCACAGCTCCACACCAGGAGATAGGGGCTGCATTTAAACAGGACCATTACTGGTCCAACTCCAATGGCTTTATGTTTCTCAATGCCTATACATTATTAGATAGCAAGAACCAGGTGGAGAAGGTTAAATAAAACCTACAGAACTGAAAACATTTTCAAGTTTATAGGATTGTAAACATAGCAGCCCCACAAAGTGTTATAAATCTGTATTCCTACTTTTGAAGGTCAAATACATGGCAAACACAAGAAACCTGGCATGCAGAAAAGGTCAACTTGAAAGTCTATTATACCAATAAGTGGATTGCATTTTCTCCTGAAGTATGAACTTTAGCTCTAATAACTGAATCTGAAATGGTTACTAGTGATTAAAATGGAATGCTCTGTAAGATTAGGATTTCTCATTAACACAAATTTGAATATACACAACAGTATGACTCAAGATTATCTTTATTTCAAGATATGAGAATACGTTTACATATCTGCACTTTTGTCTTCTTACTACCTGCATATAGTAGATGAGAGTTAATGTTATACCATTTGTATGACAGCCTGAAGACACTGTGAGCTTGAAAACAGCATTCAGGCCTCTGGCTGCCCTACTCCAACCACCACCCATTACACACCCTCTACAGGTGCTAGTGAAGCAGTGAAAGGAAAGCCTAAGTCCAATATTTTGACTATGAATCATAATTCCAGAAAATCACAACTCCAAACAAACCAAACCAGACCTGCTGCTGTTGAGTTGATTCTGACTCCCAGTGACCCGCCAGGACTGGGCAGCAGGCCTTGCAAGTTGCTGAGGCTACAGTCTGGACTGAAACAGACGGTCAAAGCCCTCTCCTGTGGAGCCTCCGGTGCATTCCAACCACCAGCCCTTCAGGTAGCCACAGAGCGCTCGCTACCACAACACTGGGGCTCCTTCCAGAATATGACTACAATTTTTAGAATAACTCACCAGAGAAACAGCTTTTTAATATGAAATTGTTTAGTGGTCATCACAACTTATTTTTACTAAGAGTAAAGTAAACATGTAATAGCATCCTAAAATGACACTTGTTCTACATTTTTTAGAGGTCTTAACCACAGGCTGGTGGGTCAAATCCGAGGGAGCAAGATAAGGCTGTCTGCTCCCGTGAAGACTGATAGCTCTGGAAACCCTAACAGAGCAGTTCTACTGTGTCCTACAGGGTCACTGTGAGTCAGAGTCAATGGTCACTACAAGACCGCTCCACAAACACGTCTCAGTATTTTTGTACCTCATCCTTGTATCTGTTTAAACAGGAGATATAATTACTTGCTTACTCACATAAACAAATGTTTGTTACTCTACCACCTTACTTTGAAATAGTAGTTAATGTGCTCACAGACTAATTACAAATCTAAAACCACTGAACTTCACTTTTCTTTGGCATAGGATGTTTTATTATTGAAAGGAACGTTTACACAAGAAGCATCTTGCGATTGCCAAGGCAGAGCTAGCTGACATTTGAAATCATACTTAATCTTAACCACCTTCAAGAACCTTATAAGCTATTAGTAAATTCTCTTAGCAGACTTACGAGGTAGTTGTATTCTTTTACTTTATGCTGATGGGACTGGACAAAAAAAAAAAAAAAGTTTTCACCCAAACTCATAAACTAGGTCAGTAAGGAAAATGACTAAGGAATAATAATGACCAAAAAATCCTAGTCTATGTCTGATCTTAGTCAAATCAAATTTGACTCTGTGGGCTGCCAACTTCTTGACATGTCCCAATGAAGCAGTATCTATTTCCTATTGTTCAGTGATAACCTAAGACCAAAATACCATTTGTGCACTTTGAGGCGTGCCAAGAGTGCCCTGTGATATTAAAGTGTTACCAGAGATGCTCGTGAAAATGGTCAGGCTCCCAACACTAGAGAACACCAACATATACTCACATCCCAACAAGCACACACCAAGTGTGTTCCACACACAGACTGCGGGGCACAACGCGGGCTCTCAGTGTTCCAAGACAAGTCTAGACTGTTTCTCGTCTCGGTCTCCTTGTGCTGGCTTCCATGGCCACACACGGAGCACAGCAGACCTAACTTACAAGGCCATCTGTCTTCTTTCACATCAGCTACTGGACTGGCATTTGTATTCCTAATCACCAAACCACCTGGTAAATGGGCCCCTCATAGCACAATTTTAGGACCGCCAGTTAGGTCCTCACCGTCATCAGGCTAGGCGTGATGACACATACTCCTAGGATACGTACAGTGCGATCGATTCTGGTGACACGCTGGAACCTCCCACGCTACTTTTAGAGGAAAGTTAACTATAATGTGATATTACATAGCCAAAGGCCCCGATTTTAAAAAGAGAGTATGTCAACTTTCAGACTTGCATATTGTCATTTTTCAAAATCCTAAACCTGACTCTAAAAACTAAAGGTACCAACAGTTTATCTATCTATCTTCTTGCTTTAGGAAGCCCAACAGTGGGGTGTAGGCAAATAGCTCGATTAAGCTACACATTTTCCTTTTATTTGGGGGGGTGGTATATCCAATGTGCTCTAAAAAACAGGCAATGAACAAAGGAGCTATAAATAGCATCAAAATGGGAAATGCTTGCTTTCAACTTGAACACCAAAGGCTTTAATTATAGCCAAAGAAAATTAGTTTGAGGAGTGCAGAAGTAAAATCTAGAATCCATATTAAATTATTTTTCCTTTTGATTGACCTTCTATAATAGGGGGCAAATACAAGAAAATATAGTTATCAAGTATTAATTTAAAGCCCAACATCCAGACTTCAAGGTTAATACATATTCCGTTAGCTTTCAGCCACCTGAGAGTGAGGAAATTCACATGATTTTCCGAACTAAGAATAAGAACTAAGACTGACAGCTCTTAGAACTGTGGGCTTGTTAAATTTATAAACTTCATGTGGCAGGAGACTGTACTTTTCCTGACATGTATAAATTAAATAAAATATATAAAACCATCTGCTCCTATGTTAATCTCTTTATGCCTCACATTATGTTTATACAAACAGCTTGTTTGCAGAATGTAGAATCCTGATTTTTTTTACAGCAAGTACTTTGCTTCTTTTTTCAAATTTCTGAAAATGAAATTAAATTCTAGTACTTCAACTGCCAAAAGACTTTTTACCACCAGGCAGTATCATTTTAATATCAGTGGTACTTTTTTACAAGCCCGAATCTATATAAAATAAGAATTTCAGAAGTTTCTTGTGACTCCCATTGAAAAAAATCTCCATTCTTGTGCATGTTCCTAGCGGTTTGTTAGGATGTTCCCACTTGATCCAAGTCCATCCGGCCTGAGACTGGTCTTTACTTCCATCCTTCTGTCAGCCCGAAGGGACTTTTTAGGTAAAGAAGCCATCTAAATAAGGGAGGAAGATGGATTTTAGTTTGTGTCTTAATTTCATATAGAGCATTATTCAGAGGTGCAATCTCCAAGAACAACAGAAAGAGACAGGAGGTAAGCTATGTGTCTCTTCTCAATGCGAACAATACAAAGGGTTTCAACCCTTCAAACTACTTCGGTTATGATAAAATCCTGCAATAGAATTGCTAACATCTGTCTAAGTGTGTAAAGTCTGTTGATGTTCTTCTAAGGTAAAGGGTTTATTTCTAACTTACTTATTGTGTTAGGCAATTTGCTAAGTCCTTTATACATATTATCTCATTTAATTCTTGCAAAGACCCTCAGACAGCTTGTACTGACTTAAGTAACAGATAAGAAACTGAAGGAGGCGCTAAGGGAAATATTTTGCTCAGGGCCACATAACCCAAATCAAACCCACTGCTATAGCCATCGATTCTGACTCACAGTGAGCCTGCAGGACACAGTAGGACCACCCCACAGGGTTTTCTGAGACCACAAATCTTTACAGAAGTAGACTGCCTCATCTTTCACCTGAGTGACAGGTGGTGGGTTCAAACCACTGACCTTTTAGTCAGCAGTCCAATGCTTAACTGACTGCACCACCACCAGGGTCCCTTCAAGAGCCAGAAATCCTTTGAGAGTTTGCACGTAGACTATCTGGTTTCAGAACCCATGAGCGCACACTGTCTGCTACAAGCCACACCCCACATACCATATGAGGCAGGGGAGCTTCTAGTTGCCGTCCAAGGAATGAAAGCAAACGCCTCCAGATTAGTCCACTTCCCATAAACATAATGCCTGTGATCAACCAGAACAATCGGGGGTCCTAAAATAGAAAACACTGTTAATTTTAAGCACAAAAGGCTAGACTCCTCAGAGATAATACTTACGGAATTATTATTAGACCAAAGTTTAAAAGAAACCTGTTATTTGTACAGTAGTCTTTCTTGTTGTTGTTGTTACATGCCATGGAGTCGGTTCCGACTCATAGTGACCCCTGTACAGGGTTTCCGAGGCTGTAAATCTTTACGGGAGCAGAAAGCCTCATCTTTCTCCCATGGAACAGCTGATAGTTTCAAACTTCTGACCTTGAAATTAGCAACCCGATTCGTAACCACTATGCTACCAGAGCGATAGTACCCAGAGACTAAGAATCTTAAATCAGAAGGTAAATACATTTTATAAGAGTGAATAGCTTTTAAAGTAGTGGGTTACATGTTGGGCAGCTAACCACAGGGCTAGCAATTCGAATCCATCAGCTGCTCTGAGGGAGAAAGATGAGGTTATCTGCCCCCCTAAAAACTTACAGCCTCAGAAGCCTTCAGAGGGGCGCTATGAGTCGGAACCGACTCAATGGCGTGCAGCAGCACCTTAAGTCTACTACTCAGAGTTGTGTTTACTGGGCAAGTGTCATCCCAATTTTTGTTTATATACATACAAATTTTAATAAACACATCCAGAGGACGTATGACTTAACAATTTTTTGCTTATAGCCAGAGTTTCCAAACCTGAGCTGAGGTACCCTGAGGCACTGCTGTACCCCATGCCATTTTATAAATCTCAGGGAAGCAGCAATACCCAGGGGCACCATGAAGACTGCCATTATTATGCTGTTTTACCCTCATTACTGCATGAAAGAACTCTTGGTTACTTCTTTTGGCCTAAGGATATTGTATGGAGTCCTGGTGTGGCGCTGCAGGATAAGCACTAGACCGAAAGGTCAGTTTGGACCGCAAGGTTGGTGGTTCAAATTCACTAGCTGCTCTTTGAAGAGCCTACACAGGGTAGCTAGAGTTGGAACTGATCTGATGGCACTTAATAACAGCAACAACAAAGGATACTATGAAACTACCAAAATAGTTTTGCAACCAATGACATACGATAAACATTTTCCTTCACAACACTTTTTTTTGTTACTTCTTTGCGGTGTAAATGTTTTTCGTTAATTAACTTACAGAATCACAGACTTGAAACTTGACCTTTCACAGGAAAGGGACTCCAGCTACAGCTACGTTATTAGGTGGTCTCTAACGTTTGTTTGGAGTCCTAGGGTGGTGCCATAGGATCAGCACTTGACCTCAAGGTCAGTTTGAACCATAAGGTCGGTGGTTCAAGCTCGCCAGTCCTTGGAAACCCTATACAGGGTCACTGAGTTAGAACCGACTCACCGGCACACAACAATAACCACCACCTTTGGTTAGCTCCAGTGATGAGAGAGCTTTCACTTTTCCCCCAGGCAGCCTGTTGCACACTGATCAACTATCACTGTTGGAAATAACTTTTATATACTGAGCAAAAATCCACCCTAAGACGTCAGCAAAAGTGCAAACAAGAATTAGATATCACATTTCCAGTTATCCAAAAAGATAGCTTTCAGTAAGCAAACATTCTGTTCAATTGAGTTTTAGCATACACAACTCCCTGTTGCTCTACACTGTGGATTGGTTCTGTGGTTCCCGATAAATCTCAAGTCTGAGGATGCCCCAAAGTGATGACTTCGAGAAGACGGCCAAGTCAGAGAGGAGAACAAACACAATCCCAGGTGCCATTAAAACACACACACACAGCATAGTATGAGACTCCAAGAGAGGGAGAAAGTCTGAGGTGGAGATTTAATGTTTGCTTGGCCATGCCTCATATGTAGCATGTTCCTTCCCATCTGGTTATTTTGTTACCTATTTTTTTAAATTCTTGGTGCCCTTTGGCTCCTCTACTGTACGGCCTGCCAACATCATTTAGAAATAGCTTATCTTTCCTAGGACACCATGTTGTGCCACAGAGTAAGAGAGTACTAAAAGCTGATGGCGACATGTCAAAAACACTTGGATGCATCAAAATAAATGACGACAGTAACAGATAAGCTCAGTGAGTGAAGTGGGGATCCATGAGTCCATGCTGATATCAACGAGTAAAAGAATAGGCAGTGGGGCAGAAACACAAGCTCCTCCTTACAATACAGTAACAACTTAGAAAGTCATCGGACAACTCTCAGCCAACTCAGGCAAGGATCATCAGTGGCTACTGAGACAGATTTCAATCATTTCAACAATGGGATCCTCACCTCTTCAAGAGAAGATTCCAAATTCATTCCAAACGCAACTCCCAGTAGTCCAAAGAGCGAGAGAGAGAACGTTCCCATAGTCAACTGTAGGTTCAATCTCATCATCACATTGCGGTGGCTGGAGAAAGAAAGGTCTTCTCTGACTACATACTGCAAAGTATCTAAGAAATCTATTAAAGACCAAGTGGCTCTAATCTATGTCATTAAAAAAAAAAAAAAAGGACATACTTCCATGTATAGTTATAGATGATGATGGTTTAATTCCACTAATAATTACAGTTCCTTAAAGGCTTTACTACTTTTTAATTATTATCATTTTATAAAGAAAAGACTTAACAAGTATTTTACATTAATGATTTCTTACCTGTCCAGATTGATGAAAATAATACTTTGTGAATCATCAATCAGTACTCTAAGTTCCCGAGATGCATTGGAAAGATCTTCGGCTAATCGGTAGTAGTTTTCCAAGAGCAACTCCATCTCTTCAGCATGGTCAATTCCACTACTGCTCTTCTCACTGCAATCCAGAGATACCACAGTTAGCAGGCTGCCAATATGTGCATCATATGTTCAGTATCCCAATACCTCCTGAATTATTATTGTTCAGTGAAAAGCTAGCCTGCTTTTTCTATTGCCATGACAGAGACCACCAGTCAGTGAATGAGCACTTGTCAACAAGACACTACACACTACACCGATGATCAAAGCACAGGGGGCACTCCTGTAACGGCTCTATCACGGCCCCTGGCCAGGAGTCCATACAAACACACCCTACCAGTTACAGGACAATCCTGATGTGTGGAAACCAAGGAAGAAGCGCAAATCCAAACCACTGTCCAGAAGACCAAAATGTAAAAAGGAACGTTAACACTCTTCCTTTCCCAGGTACAAATGCGATGTCATTTTCAGGTGGAAAGAGGAATGTTTTTCAATGTTACAACATAGTTATTTTTCTCACCTTTACTTATGTCCGACTCCACTGAGGAGAAGGGATGTTGAAGTGCTCTGTGAAAGATATTTATGTCACAAAGCACATTTCAGAGACAACTGGCCGAAATAAAGCAATCAAGAGTTGCACTATGTTTCTGTTTCTGTTACTAAATCTACACGCTATAGATAATATCAAGCTATTATCCTATTATCAGAATATAGATAATAATTTCACAAAAACGCTAAGAAAATATAAAATTAATAGGCTGCAGAAACTATACACATTCAGATGTTTGTATTAATTTCTAATACTGGTCTAACCTGAGAAATGCAAAATATTTTGTGTATTTAAAAAGGAAACATTTGTGCACAACTAAAAAAAAATGAAAAATTTCTTAGCTCATGAGATACAGGTATATGTTGTTCTTGTGTTGCTAAAAGTTATCAAGTTGGTTTTGACTGGTAGCAATCCTATTTGTGAGGAGTGGCTGGTAGGTTTGAATTGATTATCCTACAGCACCACACCAGGACTTGAAATTATTATTTTGGAGTTTTTATATTACACCAAACCCACAGAATTTATGCCAAGGTCTTATCTATCCCCTACACTCTCTCCCTCCCTTTATGTAAATCTACCTCCCTCTTCTCCACTGTACTCTAGCTAAGTTGTCTGGGTAGATGCGTGTGGTCAGTCCCTTGAAGATAAAGACAATAACTGCGTGTTTATCTTTACACTCACCATGGCCCCGCAGAATGCTGGGTATGCAGTATGCACTAATATATCCCCGTTAAATTGAATTTGAGGTAATAACGCATGGAGGTTAAAATGAAACAACTGAGGCTGGTTGAAAAGCTCCTATATTCTGTAGTCCAGAGAGAAGCTACATTCTCTGGAAAATCATTCCCAATAAACAAAGACAGGAAGTAACAGACGTGGTCACACACTTACAAGACTTGGGGGTCACTCCATTTTGTCAGACACAGCTCTTCCAGCAACTCTTCCTCATCCAAGATCTCCAGAATGGACTCTTTGAAAACTTTAATATCTGTTTCTAATTCTGATAAGCTGTCAGAGCAGTAGTATGGAAGTGATTAATATACATGGTTAGGAAATTAAGCAGTCCTATTACTTAATGATACAAGTCTCCGCATAAACTGTTTTTATCTCAGAAAAACACATTCACCGTGAATCTCAGATTTTCTGGTTAGGGAATTTATTTTTATTCTTAGTAAACATGGCATTGATAATGTAAAGACAGAGAATACACTCTTCACTGATGAAAACGGTCTTAACAATTTTTAGACAAGATGTTACTGATTTCATGAATCTTAACTGTTAAATGCTTAAATTTTTTAATATACATTAACTTTAAAAAAATTTTTTTATTTTATGTTTTATTGTTGAAACTATGCAGAGAACACACACCAACCCAACAATTTTCCACGTACAATTTGGTGACAGTGATTAGTCTTCAAGATGCGCAGCCCTCCTCAGCCCCCTTTCCGAGCTGTTCGTCCTAAGCTTCCGATTTAGCCTTTTGAGCTGTCGTTCTCAATTGGATTTCAGAGTTTTTAAAAAAGGTTACATACAATGCTCATGGCAGACCTTCTTTATTAATGAAGCTTTACTAATGTTTGGGTTGAAGATTTTAGGGGATATTTTTGGCTTAAGATTTTAAAAATTATTTCAGGGCAACTGTTTTGGGGTCAAACTGTTATGGAGATTCTGTTGTTGTTGCTTTTGAGTTACATCGAGGCAGTTCTGACTCATAGCGACCCTGTATAGGGTTTCCAAGGAGCAACTGGTGAGCTTGAACTGCCAACCTTGCGGTTCAAACTGGCTTTGCAGTCCAGTGCCACAAGGGGTACAAATTCTGACAGCATGGTTATAAAACAATGATGTAAATTAATTAAAAGACTCTTCTTAAATTATGGAATGCATTGTAAGAATATAGAACATGGAGTGTGGCGGGAGAGAGAACTGGATTAGAATTTAGATCTGTCATTTACTAGCCATGTAAGTTTAGGCAAGTTCTCTACTCAGCCCTCTAAGCTTCAGTTGAATCACCTACAAAATGAGGAAAGCATCATCTGCCAGATAGTGAAAAGGACCTCTGGTGTGGCACTACAGGTTAATGCACTGGACGGCAAGGTCAGTTTGAACATAAGGTCGGCATTTTAAGTTCACCAGTTGCTTCTTGGAAACCCTCTACAGGGTCGCTATGAGCCCAAACCAACTCGACGACACTTAACAACAACAACAGCAGCAACAGAATGCTTTATGTGCAGTATCTACTGAATGATACAGGTCTATGTACTCTCTGTAGCTCGAGTTCCCACCTAGGCTTCTTTGCATCTTTAAGATGTTGTTGTTGTTAGGTGCCATTAAATTGGTTCTGACTTACAGCGACCCTGTATAGAATTTCCAAAGAGCAGCTGGTAGATTTGAACTGCCGACCCTGTAGTTCAAACAGACCTCGCAGTTCAGTGCTTATCCTACAGTGCCACACCACAGGACTCCATCTTTAGGTTAAGAAACCCCCAAGTTTTAGACCATGAATTGAAAACCAAATATGGCAAGGAGAGTAGGTCATATAGTAACAACTGTCATTACAATTAGCAAGACTAGCTAGATAAAACAGGTAATAATCACATTAATGGAGTCCTGGTGTGATGCTGGGGGCTAATGCACTGGACTGCAAAGGTTGGTTTGGATCGCAAGGTCAGCGGTTCAAGCTCACCAGCCGTTTCTAGGAAACCCAACACAGAGTCGCTATGAGTTGGAATCAACTTGATAACACTTAACAACAGCAACATATCCCATTAATATTTCATCTGAATTAATGCTCAAATTTTCAGTGTTAGGCCTATCGAGACAGAAGTTTCAAGACATCTGCTACTAACTCCCAACCAGGTAAAACACCCATACCTACCTTTTACTATTTTGTAGTAAGATGTGCAGCTTGCTTCTGTCTACAGAAGAATGCTTGGGATCCACTAAAGCTTCCAACGTCTCAAGGATCACTGGGTGCAAAATGCTAAGTTTTCCCTGAAGAGTGTTGATCTAGATAACAACATGACCTTTCATAAGAATTAAAACAATCCTTTTAGAATACTCAGGGTCAGTGAATCCTCTGATTACAAACAGAAATCTACAAAGCTAGAAATGCCAGTAACATTTCACATGGTCACTGCTGGAATACTTAATCTAAACTATCCCAAAACTAGACCTCCTGGTTTAAGAGAATCACACATATGCTATTAAAGGGCATCAGGTTTGGCTGACAGGGAATTAAGCTCATAAGTATCATCCCCGACAGACACTTACTACAAAAAAAAAGGGGGGAAGGGAGGGGGTTAGGTTTATGTTTGGTAAACAATACCAATGTTCTTGGTAAAAACAATATAATTCACAATTCCTATGAAGAAAGCTCTTTTGAAAATGAATTGCAACGTGGACTTTATGGAACCTCCTTGTACTTATTCCAGTTCCTATAGGCTTGGCTGAGCTTCAGCACGTATGCACTAGCACACCGATTCCAGTACCAGTTCTAGTTGCCAGTGCGTCTAGTCTGCCTCCTGGGAACCCCAGGTGTAAGCGTAGAACTGGGCTCCAGAGGGTTTTCAATGGCAGGTCTTTTAGGAGATTGCCAGGTCTTTCTTCTGAGGAGCCTCTAGGTGGACTTGAACGTCTAAACTTATGGATAAGCACCTTAGTGAAAACTATTTGTGTCACCCAGGGACTCCAGTATAGCTATACTAGTTGATGAAATATTGAAAAACTTCCAATTAGTAGACAACAGAATGGCAACAGAATGAAGCACTGAAATTAATTGAAGATATAAATTCCAGCATAGACGTTTTATCTCAGAAACAATTACTAGGAAACATATAATTAATAAACCTAACATTGTTTGTTTTTGTTTGGAGATGGAAGTGCCTGCTTTATATATCCTATTACTTCTTTACGGGATCAAAGAGTTCTTCAAGTTCAAAAATCCTTCAGGGGGAGTTGGAGGCAAGAGGGGAGAAGATAGCTAAACTGAGGCAGGCATAATTTTTTAAGCATCCAACAGGTATACCAAGTCACCTGCCCAGCAAGGTGTGGACTCAGGTAGCAGGTAGGGAGGCTGCCAAGGTCACTGACATAGGCAGGTGTTTATGTGGGGCATGCCTGCTCATCATATGCAATGGTCCAGCAGATGGGTTTGAGTTTTCCTTTATTTGAAAACTTATCCCTTATAGGAGGTGGCTATCCTTGCTTAATGTGTCGTGGTTATTCAGAAGGAAATCCTCCTGGAACTACATTTAACGGCACAAAGAAGGTGTGCCCCAGTGGATAGCCTGAAGCTCCTCTATTCTTCCCATGGCGATAACACCATGCCAGTCCAATCCCTCTCGCCACACTTACTGGAAGTTCTGTCTAACGTCTGTACTCCCGAGAGCTTACCCAGTTACATCATCAACCATTGCATGCATCTTCTTTTCTTCCCCTCTTCTGCTTTTCCTTTGCTTCTAACTGGGCTCTAATTATTCACCATCTCATTGCTGTTATTAGCTCGTGCCATCCCCTAACTAACCTGAGCAGGGCATGTTGCTATCTCTTGCTCCTCAGTTAAGGAAGGCAGACAAAAGAAAAGGGTATTAGTTACCCAGTCCCCATGCATGCCACGTCCCTATACTCTCCTTCTAAGGCCAATTCATGTATGCAGCTAGTTCCTGACTAGTCAGGGAAAAAAAGGTAATGCAAGATGTTGGGGGGTAGGAAAATAGTGAACAGCCCTTATTCAGGACCTGACAGGATTCCCACACACCAGTAACTATCAGTTCAATGGAAGAGGCTTTAGAAGAACTGGATGGTTCCCTTTGTCAGTCCAGGTTCAAACACATGTATCATTTAGCTGCCTCAAACAAAGGATCATCCAAATACATCAAAGACTCATTTGGGAAGCTTCAGAATAATGTGATGAATGATTTGTGCTATAATATTTATTACGTCTAAGCAGTTTTATAACACAATTTAATCTAGAGACGAAAATGGAACACATTTTATTTTTTTATTTATATATTAATTTGCAAGATATTTCAGTTGTTATATATGTTGAAGACAATTATTAAAACTAGAACAACCTTAAGCAAAATTAAAAACAAGCTCACCCAATATTGCAGGAGTGCTTCTATAGCTCTAAACTCAAAAGGTAAAGGGTATGTGACAAGCTGACCCTCTTCAGCCAACTGGGAAGGAAGCTCCCGGAACAGCCATTGCTCCAAATTTAAATTACGATAATCTAATATAAGAAGGCACTCTGGAGTTATCACAGCTTTCAAGTACTGTAAAAGCAAACAAATATATATATTATGTATATACATATACATATATATATACATATATACATATACATGCATATAAATATATATGCCCAAACACCCAAAATACATATATAAGTACTATAAACACAAATACATATTATATATAATGCTCTCACCACACAAACATATACAAGTTACAGAGCTGTATGAAAAAAATAATATTCATAAAATAAGGTTTAACAGTTAACCAATTTTAGATTATGCCTCAAGCAAACCACTGTAGAATTTTAAAACCATTGGTCATTTAAAAAAAAAAAAAAATCTAAAATATGGAGGGCTTCAAAAACTTTGTGGAAAAATGCCATTATCTTACATTTCCATTTTCCCATGAACTTTTTGAAACTTCTCCTAAAACCTCTTACTTTCAACAAAATGAGAATTACTTACAAAAAATTACGTTATTAAGACTTCTGGGATAGTCTTAGAAAAATAGGCAATAAGTGGGCATGATAAAGTCTTGAGTTAGATACCAAAAAGACTTTCAGAAAAAATTTCATTTAATCTTAATTGTTGCTAAATATTGCTGAATCAGTTATGACTCACAGTAACCCTGCAAAGAGTGGCTGGTGGGATTGAACTACCAGAAATAGAAAACTTTCTCCTTAAATTGTTACCAATAGCTGTTAAGCTTAATTGAAATGGGAAAGCTAAAACATCACCTTAAATGGTTCAAACAGCATGGAATTAGAAATGATTTGAAAGAGAACGATTGGCATCTTTATGTTATTAGAGCATTATAAAGTATTAAGAGCAGTTTATGGCTACTACTTTCACACTTTTATACAGAAATGTTGACTTTTGGAAGAAAGCAAGTCCCACACCCACACAGGGACAGTACCACTGAGCCTGTGCCTTTTTATCTGCTTTAGCCCCATGGAAAAATTGATGTTCACAGCAACTGTGAGTCTGCTGTATTCTTGAGTAGGCAAGGGAAGAGAGCATATGTTAGTAAGATTCCCTCCAAAATAAAAATTTACATTTGTTTTTAAGTGCTGCAGAGTCGATTCTGACCCATACCAACCCTGTATAAAGTTTCCAAGGAGCAGCTGGTGAGTTTGAACCACTGATCTTGCAGTTCAAATGACTTAGCAGTCTGACGCATTAGCACACAATGCCACACCAGGACTCCAAATTTTACATAAATTCATACAATTTACTAATCTTAACTTTAAGAGTATATCCTGGTTCTCCAAATAGCCAGAATATATTCTGGCTATTTGGAGAACCAGGATATACTCTTAAAGTTAAGATTAGTAAATAATTAAGACATAAATTGGAAATAATTAAGAAAGTTTCACCTATTATAAAGAAAAATTCTTCTATCATTTCAGATGTTAGAGATTAAGGTGAATATTGTTCAAGTAATGAGCAATGTTCCGTGCTAGCTGACTTTTGCTAAAAGTACACATGTAGAAAGCATATAAAAAGTTCTACTCCAACTAATACATTGATATCTTGTTTCATACAGGTATTTACATTTCCAAATTACTTTTAACCTAGCTACTAATCAACATTTTATTGTTGTTGTTAGCTGCTGTCGACTTATACAGGTTTCTGAGCAGCAACAGGTGAGTTTGAACCGCTAACCTTGCAGTTTGAACCGACCTTGCAGTCCAGTGCACTAACCTGCAGTGGCACACCAGGACTCCTAATCAACATAGTAAGCAATTTTTATAAGGCTGTGGTGGACAGATATAGATGAAATAAAATAATATACCTCCATTCTCATGATAATCCTATTGTTTCTGGTTGTGATGCTCATTACGTGCTGAAATCGCAAATCTCTGGCTTGAAGTCCTAATTCTTGGTATAACTCAATTTTCTTCCTTTCTATATATAAAAGAAACATTTTAGTAAACATTGTCCTAAACAATTAGGTTTGAGCACCCACCAAGTTAATTTTCTCTTACAAATTTCAAAAGCTAAAAAGAGTCTTCTGATGCCTTATAATACCCATTTTTAATCTCAAAACAATACTTAGGATAAAAGTGATGAAACTCTCAATTATTCTCTATGTCTCTTATCCATACTTCATAAAATTTCTCTGAACTTAGAAGCCCCACAAGTCTCACAGGTAGAATTATACACATCCTCTTTACCAGTCTCACAGGTAGAATTATACACATCGTAGCCATATCTCAAGTTTTGTATCAAGTTCACCAGTCGCTTCTTGGAAACCAGCGGCTTTTAACAACGAATTATCTCACTAGGGAGTCCAGTGCGGTGCTATAGGATAAGCACTGGTCAGCTATACATACAGTGGTTTAAACCCACTAACCACTCCTCAGAAACCTTATACAGGGTTTCTATGAGTACAACATATCTCATTAGAACTCTATTATCACTTTCTAAGCCTAGAAATAGGTCATTTTTCTTGAATATGAATTTTGTACAATTACATTTTCTATTTTTTCACACTCATCATCTTCAATATTTTAGGTCTGTGAACTTATCCAGAAGAGCTGAATCTTCTTTGTGTTGAATTAATAAAAAATGAGAAAATAAATTCAGCTCTTGGACTAGATTTTCCAACCTGGAATCCAAGAATTTATACTGGTTCTAGTCGTATATGTACTCATAGAGTCAAAGCACACCTATCAAAGAGCTGTTTCTTTTGAAGAGGATACTGAACAAAAAAGTACTCAAAATACCCCACTAGATCTCAGCAGTGGCACAGTCAACATCGTGGAGTGATGAGGGACGGGGCGATCAGACAGCAGAATAAACGACTAGTTTCACTTTTACAAATAACTGTCTAAGATACATAGGCTGAATGGGCATGGGAGTTTGGAAGAGAATATTTGTTCTTAGCTGCAAACACACTTATGAATGTGGTGGAGCATACAGGTGGTAAACTGATAAAAAATTCTGAGAGATTATCAAACATTGTAAGGCAGTGAGTTCCTGGGGGCTCAGGATCATAGTTACGGGATACCACGATCAACTGGCAAAACACAGTCCACAAAGTAGTGACTGGGATCTTAAAAGCTCATGAGAGGCCACCTAAGATGCAACTATTGGTCTGTCCATGTGTGGAACAAAGTGATGAAAACTGAAGCTGCTTGGGATCAAATGAACCAATGGAGCAGGTGAACATCCATCACTAAGACTGTGAGACCAGGAGAACTATACAGTGCCTGGCCACCACTACCAACTGCTCTGAAAGGGATCACATTACAAGGTCCTGGATAGAGTGGGGGAAACAGTGGAACAAAACTTAAAATTTAAAAAAGCCAAGTTTATTGGTCAGACAGAAACTAGAGGAACCCAAGGCTATGGCCCTCGACCACCCTTCAGGTCTGGAATGGAGCACACCCTCATGTACCAATTTTTAGCTAAGCAGGAGATAAGTATATAACAGGGACAACAACACTAGTAAGGTACGCTAACCATGGAATGGCCAACCATTCAAGATCAAAAGGATAACCTTTACCTAAGGACAAAGTTGAGAAGGGATGAGAAGGAGTTGGAATGGAGTAAATGTAGTTTCAGGGTAGGGATTGCAATCACTGAGATGAAACAAAAGTGTATGATTTGTTGAATGTAACACTGACAATCTTCTCTAAACCTTTACTCAAGTCACAATAAAAAAGCTAAAAAAAAAAAATCAAAAAAAAAATCACTGTCCATGGAGAGCAATCAATGGCAGAGTTCCAGCTGAACTCCACCCAGTGTCCCATTCCTCCTGGTTTTCTGTCACCCACGGCCACCGCCTGTCAGCAATACTGAGTGATTAAACACAGCGCAGGAAGAGGATAATAGAAGGAGTAGGGCAGTGAAAGGGTGATTACAGAAGAGAAACAAAAGGGGAAAAACATCTTTCTCTGTGCTCCAGCTCTAACAGGCTTCTGCTTTCTAAAATATTCATTTAATATCCTCTTAGAGCAAAAGCAACTCCTGCCAGGAGAAAAAATCAATTCTGGGTGAATAAACATAGTCCAGATATTGCCAGTTTCATTCAGGGCAGGTGGACAAAGGCTAGGGGGCAAGAAACCACCAACAAAAAACAACTCCTTCAATTTACACAGGACATAGAGTATTCTACCTAAAATGCTATAACTTTTTGATCTTCATCAGATTTGCTTATTCACTGACTTGAATAGAAAAATAATGATTTAGAAAAAAACAGACACTTACCAAAAGAAGTAGCATTTCCCTCTTTGTCAAATTTTGTCTGAAGAGAGATAATAAACACAAAATAATATTTCTACCAAATTAGTATACAATTTATGATATGATGAGTAATATCATCAGAATACAGAAATGCAGATATAAGCTATAACTGTCCTTCTTCAGCTTAAACCCAGTAATGAGTCAAGGGTTTAAAAGTCCCTTTCCCTTAGTTAAGGACAAATCTGACCTTGAGTTAATTTTCTATCTTGATTTCTCCTTAAAATCTGATAAAGAAAGTATCAGTTTTGTTCTGAGGCAACAGTGTTTATGGTAAAAATGACTGTGTGGTAGACTACATGGGACTGGGAAGGTTATGAACTCATCGCACAGCTGTGGCCTGGTGTGGAGGTTTTTGTAACAGTCCACGCTCCTGGTAGCGAAGGGACCCTTGAAAGCTGTCCTTCTGAGATGGTTACAAGAGACACTGGCACTATGCCATAGCTGTTTAGTGCTGTCAAGTCAGTTCCGAGTCATAGTAACCCTGTATAGGGTTTCCAAGGAGCTGCTGGTGAGTTGAACCACTGACTGTTCAGGTCAAACTGACCTTGCGGTATAGTGCTTTATCCTACAGCACCACACCAGGACTGGGATATCTCACACCCCACTTTTAGGGTCCTGTTTCCTTGCATCTGAGCTGTCACTTCAGAGTCAGAGGAGCCCTTGCACTGGTGTAGGTTTTCTTCTGAAAAGGAAATGTCTGATGCTCCCCTGTTGTGTGCCCTGTCTTCTATTCTTCTGTGTCAACTGGAACCAAGTGTGGGCTGACCTATGAACCTAAATGTCTAGCGGAGGCTAAGAAGTCTCTGTGGCAGGTGTTGCAGAATCACTTCAGACTTACGAAGGTGTCCTCACAGTTTCAAGACAGGATGCAATGCAGAAACGCACATAACTCATGTCAAGTAAAGGGAACAGGTTTCTGGAATGCTTGCCCACAATTAAGCTGGAAATTGTCAAGTAATATTTAATGAATCACTGTGCACTGGCCTGTAAATATACGTTTTGAAAAAGGCATACTTTAAGACATAGTTGTAGGGACAATGTAAATCATTGGGTTACTACCTTAAAAGTCCCTAACATGGGGGACTTTAAAAAAAGGGAAATTTATGGAAAAAATGAAATAGAAAAGAAATGGAATTGTCCCATGAACTTTATGAAGCCCCCTCATATATATTTTAGCTTACTTTTCACAAAGAACAGGAATATATAATGAGAACCATGTAACATTAATGTAAAAGGCAAATTTATATAAAAAGATGCTTTATATTTAGTGTAATACATACTAGCTTTTCTTGTTCAAATCGACCATTTACTTCTTGGAAACCCTATGCAAGGTCACTATGAGTCAGCACCGACTTGACAGCACTTAACAACAACATATATATTTCTGGTGTGGCACTATAGGATAAGCACTGGACTGCTAACCACCAGGTCAGGAGTTCAAACCCATGAGCCACTCGTCAGAAATCCTGTATGAGGTTGCTATGAGTAGGAACTGACTTGATACACATATATATAAACTTCAGAAAATTTAACAGAGATAAGGAAAATAAAGCTATGTCAACAGACTAAAATGACAAATCTTAAAAAAGAAATCATACTAATATTTTATGGAATGTCTTTTCACACTTTTTCCTAGAGAACATATTCATGTTACTATATACAATTCTTCAGTCTCTCCCACATTTCCAACTTGACAGCATATGCTAAATATTTTTATATCTCCATATTGATCTATAAAATATTTTAATAGGATTGTTTTCTAATAGAAAAGTCAACCAAGCCCTGATTTTCTAAACTGTTTACTTTGTAATCAGCTCACTTTCTAAATGCTCTATTTCTAATAGTACTGATTCTTAAGTGTTCTTGCTAGACAATTATTTCATGGGCACAGAACCTTATTTCATCTGATTTTGTATTGTAGTTAAACAGACCAACTCTTCCAGACTAACATTCAATAACAGTGACAGCTTTTGTAAGTAGTTCTGGAATTATCTTGCCCTATCCACGGAAGAAAGATGAGGCTTTCTGCTCCTGTAAAGATTTGCAGCCTCGGAAACCCTGTGCAGGGTCACTATGAGTTGGAATCGACTCCACAGTACTTAACAACAACAACATATAGGTAATAAAGAAAAGTTCGTGTATTAATAAGCCTAAATAAGGATATGGAATATTTACTATGTACCAGGCACTATTCTAAGG